AGGGCGATGCTGAGTGTGAGCATTCGGGGCAGAAGCCACAGGAGACTCCGATTCTGTGGTTTCTGCTGATAATTATTCTGTTTTTTGTTCCATGCTTGCTGCGCTGACTAACTTAATCCTGACATCGAAAATACAAATACCTTGGCCGTGCTTTATGATTCTGTTTCTTGGTTGTTCGAAGGGGGTGTGATCAGTGATGATTGCCCTAAACCCTAAACCCTAAACCCTAAGCCCTTTTGTAATGGAAGGAACCTCCGATTCTGTAGACATGCAAGCAGCAGACCGCCGTCGCCCTCCAAAGCCCTCCTAAAGCGATAAAAACCCTAATCCCTAAACCCCTAAACCTTAAACCCTAAAACCCTGAAACCCTAAACCCTAAACCCTAAACCCCTAAACCCTAAAACCCTAAACCCTAAACCCTAAAACCCTAAAACTAAACCCCTAAACCCCTAAACCCCTAAACCCCTAAACCCCTAAACCCCTAAACCCCTAAACCCCTAAACCCCTAAACCCTAAAACCCTCAAACCCCTAAACCCCTAAACCCCTAAACCCCTAAACCCCTAAACCCCTAAACCCCTAAACCCCTGAACCCCTAAACCCCTAAACCCCTAAACCCCTAAACCCCTAAACCCTAAACCCCTAAACCCCTAAACCCCTCTAAACCTAAACCCCTAACCCTAAACCCTAAACCCTAAACCCTAAACCCTAACCCCTAAACCCCTAACACCAAACCCTAAGACTCTTGGCTCCCCAGCTCCGGAGACGTTGCCAGGGGAGGCGTTTCTGTCGGTGCCATGCAGGCACTAGACTCAGGAGTAACCTAGGAATAAAAAAGCTTGCCCTTTTTGGTTTTAAGAGGATTAGAAGGGAACCCCAACCCTAAACCCTAAACCCTAAACAAAAGGAAAGACGGGCCTACTCCGGGTCCTAGGGCATGTGACGACAGAAGCAGCTCGAGCTGCGAGTAAGCTTGTCGGCTTGGGACTTGGCGCGTGTAGGGTTTAGGGTTAAGGCTATAGGCAGGTTTAGGGTTTAGGGTGTAGGGTCAAGGATTTAGGGCTTAGGGTGAGTATAGGGTTTAGGGCTAAGGATCTAGGGTTTGTAGAGTTTAACACGGTTCCAAAAGTGCTTGTGGCACGCTGGCCGGGTTTATCTGGGCAAGCTGCGAGCTTGAAAAGAATCTGCGCAAGTAGGGTCAAGTAGTCAACGCGTTGTAGTTTAGGGTTTAGGGTTTAGGGTTTAGGGTTTAGGGTTTAGGGTTTCGGGTTTAGGGTAGGGACGGAAGCAAGTGCATGCAGCTTGCTGGGTTGCAACCTGGACATGACGGCGAATGTCAAGTTCGCGAGCGGTATGAGAAGGAGCGGCGCTGACCATCCTTGCGAACCGATGACTGGCGCGGGTGTGATCAGTTCATGCAGCGTGCGGAATGATGCTTGAGCTCTATCTGTGGCTTGCTTAAGAAAGTCTATAGATGTCAGCTGCATCTAAGCTTCAGCGCCCCAATTTAGGGTCAAACCCAAACAAATCTCAAATCATGCAGAGCTCTGCACCCTAAACCCTAAACCCTAAACCCTAAACCCTAAACCCTAAACCCTAAACCCGACTCGTGTCATTTTACAGCCACCTGGTCTTCACTCGCAGATGAGTAGTAGCCCAGCAGGTGCTGTGGCTGAGCATCTGCAGCGAGATTCAGGAGCTTTGTTGCAACCTGGGGGTTGATAGGAAAATTCGGGGTGCCTTATTGGGGTCCTTAATAATAAGGGGATCCTACTATTTGGGGGGTCTATATTCGGGGACCCTAAACCCTAAACCCTAAACCCTAAACCCTAAACCGTAGGTGTCCCCCAATATTTTCGCAATCCCCCGGGCCTGCGTGTCGAACAAACTCTGGCAAAGATCGTGGCACCGTGCCTGGCGATCCGGAGACTCCTGCATCCTTGGCTGACTTCTGAACGCCTCCTAAAAGCGTAACTTTAGGCTCCTTATTAGGGTTTGGGGTTTAGGGTTTAGGGTTTTTTGGTTTAGGGTTTTAGGGTTTAGGGTTTAGGGTTAGGGTTTAGTGTTTAGGCTTTAGGGTTTAGGGTTTACGGTTTAGGGTTTAGGGTAAACCCAAAAGGTTAAAGTCCTAAGAGCCAGCCAGAAGAAAGCCAAGCATCTGGTGTCGGTCTGGCACGGCGACCGTGCGCACAAATGCTGTGGTGGCGGCCGGCATAAGCCTGGGGCATAGAGGGTTGAGGGTTTGGGGTTTTAGGGTTTTAGGGTTTTGGGGTTTTAGCGTTTTAGGGTTTTAGGGTTTTAGGGTTTAGGGTTTAGGTTTTAGGTTTAGGGTTTAGAGTTTAGGGGATCTGGCAGTTGCAAAGGTTTGGACGACGCTTTTAATCTGCTTCCGCCAATCGGGCCTCCCTGCTGCTGTGCGGCAGCAAAAAATAGCAACATCCTAGTCCCACAATCTGATTCTGCAAGTCCCCCCCACAAAAGCCTCGTCGAAAACCCTCAACCCTAAACCCTAAACCCTATAAACCCGAAACCCCCCACAGCCTCGTCGTAAAGGCCGGCAGTGCCTCTGAGAACGGCTGCGTAGGTTCAGGTCCCGGTTCGGGTACCGCGTCCGCGCGGGGAAGCCGCTGGATCCACTGGGGATAGTTCCAGGAGTTCCTTGGCTTTTAATTTAAGGAGGGCTTAGGGTCTGGGGTTTAGGATTAGGATTTAGGGTTTAGGGTTTAGGATTAGGGTTTAGGGCTTAGGGTTTGGGATTTCGGGTTTTGGGGTTTGAGGAATCCATATTTGGGTTTAAATCGAAGGCCTTGGGGTTTATGGACCAGCTCCAAAAAGAGGGTTTCAAAACAAGGACCCCCCCCCCCCCCCCCCTCAAAAAAAAAAAAAAAAACGACAAGAAACAAGTGAACCTTCAAACCGTAAACCCCAAAAACCCTAACATCCTAAACCCTAAAGACCCTAAAGGCCCTAAACCCTTACGCACGAAAAAATCCTAGAAACCCTACAAACCTTAAACCAGGGACCCCTAGACCCTAAATCCTAAACCCCAAACCCTAAACCCTAAAAACTCTAAGCCCTAAACCCTAGACCCTAGACCCTAAACCCTAAACCCTAAACCCTAAACCCCTCCATGCTCCCGGGCTCGCACTCCGAAGCAGCTGCGCGCGAACGACCCGCACGTCCCGGTCCAACGGCCCACCCAGGGGAACCTGGGCTCCACAGCCCTAGAACCCTAAAAAACAGCTTAAACAACAAGGGGTTTAGGGTTTAGGGTTTAGGGTTTAGGGTTTAGGGTTTAGGGTTTAGGTTTTGGCGTTTAGGGTTAAAAGGGTTTTGAAAACATCGTGGGTTCAAAATTCCATTGGCGCTTGAGACAGCAAAGCTAATGTAGACTGTTTGGGGTCTCCTTTTCTGCTTTACGAAGTCACAATGCGTAGCATTTCCTTGTAAAAGAAGATATCCCTCATCATGTCCAAGAGGTTTCTGGAAACAAAAGATTCAATATTCCAAGAACACTAAACCCTAAACCCTAAACCCTAAACCCTAAACCCTAAACCCTAAACCCTAAACCCTAAACCCTAAACCCTAAACCCTAAACCCTAAACCCTAAACCCTAAACCCGAAAAGAAGTTCTAAGGTGACGTGGAAGGGACGATGCGGGCCATGTTTCCCGCCAGGTCGCCGACCATCTCCACGGCTTCAGAGGCTTCCCCGGCCTTCCTCTGACTTGGTTTGGGGTGGTTTTGGGTGGTGTTGGGTGGTTTTGGGCGATTGTGGCTGGTTTTGGGTAGTGTTGGTTGCTTTTAAGGTGTAGTTTAGGAAAGCCTAGAACCTTCGACCCTAGGTACCTAAGTTAGCATAGTATCCTCACTCAGGATCCAAACAAAAATGGGGAAACCCTAATTAGACCCGAATTAAGCCTAAACCCTAGACCCTAGACCCTAGACCCTAGACCCTAGACCCTAGACCCTAGACCCTAGACCCTAAACCCTAAACCCTAAACCCTAAACCCAGACCACATCAACTCTTGAGCTTCCAAGCCGCCCTTTGAGAAGGACCACCCTGGTGGCGGGAGGGCCAGTGGAGGACGCCAGGCGACCCTTCCAGAGCCAAGGGGTCTGGGCCACCGACGCCTCGTGCTCTGCCTTGCTTAGGATTTAAGGGGTTAGGGTTTCGGGTTTAGGGTTTAGGGTTTAGGGCTTAGGGCTTAGGGTTTAGGGTTGCAACCCTAAAGGTTAAAGGTTACCTACCCAGTCCCTAATCTCATAAGCCCTTCATCCCTACTTTGGAGTAGAGCCTGGAGAAAAACAGTATATACTGTTTGGGTATCAGGAGCTACAGTACGAACTAAGGGGGGGGCGGGGGGGTAGTAGCCCTAAACCCTGAACCCTAAACCCTAAACCCTAAACCCTAAACCACCCAGAACCAACAAAAAGTATTAAAGTATAGTACTCCAAAACCCAGTCATCGTGAGCCCTAAGCCGAGCTTCAGCCAGCCGTCCAGCGGGCGCGAGCTGGCCCAGTACCTTGACTTGTTGCTAAGGGTAGTTTCATGGTCCCTTAGTATGGTCCCTTTGAAGGGTACCCGTTACATATACCCTTCATGTACACTATACAAATTAAGGGACCGTACATCAGAACCCTTTAGACGAGGTAAGGGACCAGATTAAGGGCCCGCGTAACTACCCTACTTAGATTGTTCGGATCTTTCGCGGCTTCGGGTTCAGGGAGGGGTCTTTAGGGTTCGGGGGGTTTACTGTTCAGGGTACGTATCCCTAAACCCCTAAACCCCTAAACCCCTGAAACCCTAAAACCCTAAAACCCTGAAACCCTAAAACCCTAAGACCCTAAACCCCTAAAACTCCAAAACCCTAAAACCCTAAAGCCCTAAAACCCTAAAACCCTAAAACCCTAAACCTCTAAACCCTAAACACTATCGGACTTAGGGTTTGGGGAGCCTTTGCTTTCAGCGATCTACAGACAACTGGTCGCTTTGTGGCCTTTTGAATACAGGCTCAACTTCAGCAACTTTCGGTAGAAGAACCCCGGACCACAGTACTGTACCTGGCAGTATGCACTTCAGGAAGTACTCCAGGTTTAGGGCTTAGGGTTTGTGAGCAGGGCTGCGGCTGGGCCTGGCTTTTTAACACAAGGTGCACGTTGTTGTTTCCTTGGCTCTCCCTTTTTGCTTGCTCCTATGCATACTGTTAACTTAGACAACGTCTCCACATCTGACGCCCACATACACGTACATAGATTGCAAGATGGCTAGATATAGATTTAGAACCCACAACACCGTGACCTACCTAGCCTTGGTTCCTATGGCAAGTGCCATCCTTTGCACTACCCGCAGCTATCGTTGATTTAAATACTATTTTCTTATTCTCGGTGCATCTTTGTGCTGATTTAAGAGAACTCAGCCGCTTCATCTTCAGGGGTTTCGGTTTCGCTTCGATTTCCGAAGCTCGTTTGGCGCACCAGTCGTCCCATTAGCTGTCCCTCAGCGTCTTCCAATACTCAATATTCAGCCGGCCAGTACTACGATCAGCAAGCTGCAATACGATCAAGAGGATACCCGTTTATGAGCACACCGCTGGTCTACAACAACCCCATCTGTTCATGAACGCAGACACGCATAGATTTAGAAAAAAGGTCATGTGCCCAAACTCTCCATAGAGATGCATGCATATGTTATGTCCACCTCCCCCCCCCCCCCCCCCCCCCCCCCCCCCCCCCCCCCCCCCCCCCCCCCCCCCCCCCCCCCCCGCCCCCCCCCCCCCCCCCTCCCCCCCACACCAGCCCTGAATATGCGCAATAAGTGTAGCTTGGTTGTCTTACGATTGGTTGAGGGCTTCCCACCAGCAAAACCTGAAAACAACCTGAAAAAAAGGCCGTGTGAAAATACAGCCCGCCCGGTGTAGGATTGAACGCCTAGGGAAGATTCCTTTTAAGTGTAAACAGGGTTAGGGTTTAGGGTTCAGAGCTTAGGGAATTGGAGTCTCTTTCAACAAACAAGAGCTGATGGCACCAAGAAGCATGCTTCCCCACACCGCGGCTACGGCCATACACCCGTGGTCGGCACCTGACGCACATCGACAGCCATAGGGCTATAAAAGTGGAACGCAATATATACATATATACATATGTACATATATACATATATACATAGATACATATATACATACATATATATATATACTTATATATTGATCTATATATATATATATATCTTGGTATATGATCGGGCTGTTCATGCTAGGTTTTTGAAGGGTGTCTTGAGCTTCAGTTGAAAACTCCCATCGGCCAAGCATCGGCTTCTGCAATCTAGGACACGGCTTCTGAATTAGGACTTCAGTTCCGGCATACAACAGGCATCCCATGAACTCAATGTGTTCAACATCCCTAAACCCTAAACCCTAAAGACTAAACCCTAAACCATGAGCTCCTGGCCAAGCCACAATGCAAAGCCTGGGCTCAGACCCTCGCCAGCACTGTGCGTAAGACACTACGTATCTCCTGCCCTGAAAAACAGATGGAAGGAGGAACCATGTGGGTATTTCCCAAAATAGGGGTACCCCTCTTATACCCCAAATAGACTAGAATCCCCTTAGCGGGACCCCCAAAAGGGTAATTACCCCTATTTTCGGAAACCCCCATATGCTGCCCGGCGGCTGTACACACGTGTGCGAGCGCACAAATGGCCCTGTCACAAGGCCGTGAGCACAAATGGCACGCACGGCCAGCAGCTGGGTCCACGTCAGTACGGCGCTGTGGTGCAGCTGCGATGAGCGCAGTGGCCTACCGGCTGGTTCTTAGTGTTTAGGGTTAAGGTTTAGGGTACCTATATACTCCCTTTAAAGGGTACATACAGGGCCTACTTCCCTACTAAAGACCAGGGGGCCCTGCTCCCAACAGTGCTGTGGGGACTTCCTACGCCTCAGAACCTACCAATTTCTGGTTTGGGGTTTCTGGTTTAGGGTTTAGGGTTTAGGGTCTAGGGTTTAGGGTTTAGGGTTTAGGTCCCTGCACCTCTACTCAAGGATCAGGGAGTAAGTAAACCTAAGCAGCTTAAAGCTCAACTCTTGGTTAAGATGGCTAGGGAAATGCAGGAAAAAGAGCCGCCAACACCTTCCAAAAGATTTGCAAATCCTGCAAGACATAGCTGATATGCCTATATTCTGACTTTATGATGTCATGATCGTATCGTATTAGTATTGTATTAGTATACTGTTAGAGCATAAAAAGATATTACGATATATTATATTATTAAACAAACATAGTGTCCATTGTATACTTAGTACATGAATAAAGTTTAATTCATACGTACTGTATTCGTATTGGGAGGTTCCCTACGAACAGTCCTGAATAGGGATGTATAGTACCCCCCCCCCCCCCTTATGATATCCCTGTTAAGGACTCGACTAGTAGTAGAAGGGGGAGCATCCCAATATTCCTACAGTATTAAGCCCTAAACCCTAAACTCTAAACCCTAAACCCTAGCCCTAAACCCTAAACCCTAAACCCTAAACCCTAAACCGAGCTGCCTCCTCGCCCAGTTGCTGCCTTCCTCCTCGGAGCAGAGGCGGAAGCCCAGGAACTGGCGGACGATGGACGGCCACTTCACTTCCGACTCCTCGTGTTTTGAGGCGTTTAGGGTTTAGGGTTTAGGGTTTAGGGTTTAGGGTTTAGGGTTTAGGGTTTAGGGTTACTTGCTTATGTCCAGTGAGTCAGGGACCTCAGAGTTTGGCCTACGGGTTCCTGGGTTGTGGCGTCCAGGAACTCCTGTCAAAACATCTTACCCATAGGTCACTTGAGCCGCATAGCGCAAGCCCTCAAGCCAATAAGGCTTAAACTTAGACCCAAAGACTGCCCAAAGACCCTGAACCCGAACCCTAAAATCCAAAACCCTAAGCGCCAAACCCTAAACCCTCTAAACCTTCTAAACCCTCTAAACCCTCTAAACCCTCTAAACCCTCTAAACCCTCTAAAACTCCCAAACCCCCCTGAACCTCCAAACCCCCAAACCCCTGGCCCCTGCGCCCTGACCCTAGCCCCAGGCCCTAAACCCTGAACACCCAAGAACCCCAACCCTAAACCCTAAACCACAAATCCTAAACCCTAAACCCTAAACCCCTAAACCCCACCTTTAAACCCTAAAAACCGGTTTTAGGGGCCTCTCAAGGGTCCCTGGTCTCCTCGGCCTTCATCAAGGCCTGGAAGAGCGACTCCGTGTCCAACACGGGGCCCAGGGGGTCCTGAATTACAGGGTTCGAAGCCTTGGGGTTTAGGGTTTAGGGTTTAGGGTTTCGGGCTTTTCGTTGAAAAGTTCAGGGCCAGGGTTGAGTTTTCGGGCCTGAGCTAGGGGGTCCTGAATTCAAGGATTTGAGGCATTAGGGTTTCGTTTCAGGGTTCAGGGTTCAGGGTTGAGTTAGGGCCTGAGCTAGGGTTTCGAAAGGGTTGGCAAGCTGCATACACTTGCCTGAAATCGTGGGAGGAGTGCGGAAGAAATTCCAAACTTTGGATGTTTGGGGGGGTGCTGAAGCCTTGGCTTGTGAGAACATCGGCCCGGGGAACGTTGGGACTTGCAGGATCTCTAAGGATCGTGGCCGTTGTTTGCGCCTTGAAGCGCAAACCCTAACCCCGAAACCCTGAAACCCCCGAGGCCCCCAGCACAACCTCTCTTCTGCAATAGGGAAAACCCTCAGAGTCCATGTACCTAGACAGGGAATACTCGGGCCTTAAAGTAACCGTTTTCTAGTGACTTTGGGGCCCAAGCATAACATTATGAGGTACATGGACCCTCCGATCCACCTAATGTCCGCCAAATTCCGGAAACTCGGCACGCCGGGTCAGGATTCAAGATTTCGGCCCTAAACCCTAAACCCTAAACCCTAAACCCTAAACCCTAAACCCTAAACCCTAAACCCTAAAACCCTTTAAACCCCTAAACCCTAAACCCTAAACCCTGTTCCCCTCTTAAGAACCCCCCCCCCCAAAAAAAAAAAAACAAAACCGTGCATTGTACATCTTGCCGAAAAATCGTATGAAGGGTTCATGTAACAAGAACCATTAAGACAAAAACTAAGTTGGGTGGCTCACCCTAAACTTATAGGGTTCTTAAGGGAGGGGGGGGGTTCAAGGGGGGTATGCAACACAAGGTTCCCTAGATACACCTCGCGATCCCCCCCTTGAACCCTCTTCCCCTAAGAACCCTAAAATAAATCCCAACCCCTACACCCTCAACCCTAAACCCTCAACCCTAAACCCTGAACCCTCCCCACATGGGCGTCCCATCGTCCTTCTCGTGTGGCCTTAACGTGGTGGCAATGCCGAGGCCCAGTTCGTAGGCGACATCGATGATCTCTTCCTCTCCTGCACAATCGGGTTTAGGGCGTTTAGGGTTTAGGGTTTAGGGTCTAGGGTTTAGGGGAATCCCGCAGCCCGAAATCACATGATTCGGACTATAGATCCATACGAACTAAAGTTTTGGATCCTAGGGTACCTTGTGCTCTATGTTCGAAGTTAGCAAGTGCTCATTTTGTCCTCGAAGTTTAGGGGGCTTGAGATCTCTAAGGTTTCGGTCGTTGTCCCGACCGCGCGTGCACGCTGCTTTCGGCGCAACGGGCCTCGCTCTGAGGAACGTGTTCTGGCGCTTTGAATGCTAGCATACACTATACTCCCCTTAGAACCTTAACAAAAATAATGTTCTGAATATCCTCTTGGGATTTATATAAACAAAAAATAAAGAAGAATTCCCAAGGGGGATTTCGTAAACCTGTTGTGGTGCTTGTGCGCCTCGGCCACAGTCACCAATGGTCTTGCCACCTACATTCCCCGATCAAGCTCAGACATGCAGCGGACACCGGATGGGGTAGGCCTTGGAGGGAGAACGGAAGTGATATGAAGTAGAGTATATATTTCTTGTACCCCCCAAAAGGACACCAAAGGTATACACTCACCAAAATTAAAAAGGAACCTTATATACACTCACCAATAGCAGAAAAATAAACCCTGCTTCATATAGGGGCCTGAATAATTCGGATAGGGCTTGGGGGTTATTATCGTATGATTGCAAAGGGACCATAAGGCCATAAGGGAATACTACCAGCAATTAGTCCGGCCCCTAGGAAAGGGGCCGGAAGCCTCCGCCGGGGGGTGTCGGCTGGGTGACCAGGCATGTAGGAGTTCCAATTCCATCTCGCAAACAACTCTCTTATATTAGGGTTTAGGGTTTAGGGTTTAGGGTTTAGGGTTTAGGGCTCCGGCGCTGACGTTCGTTCTTGGAAATATGGGGGCCTTAATTATTAGAATACGACCCTATATTATACATTTGGCTCGGAAAGCCCTGTCCGACAGGCTTGAGCACCCACGCATGGTCAGTTGCAGCGTTCAGGGTTCAGGGTCGCGGCTTCTACCAGTGGACATCGATTGGTTTGAATTGTGGTTCTGGGGTTTGGGATTGCGGTCCCTCGACCCGAAAATCAATCTTCGGGAGCCAACATTGCTGTAGATGGCTTGTTGTAGGGCCCCTGGCGATCTAGAGATATTTCCTGATGTTTCGGTTATTTTTGATAGATCTCTTTCAAAAGGGTCCTGAGCTGTTTAAGGCTTGTGTTGGATGCAGCACCTGCGGTGTTCTGATGGGCTCCTCCCCAAATGCATTTCAGCCGGCGTCGGTCGGACCTTGCTTGAAAAATGAGGGGTAAAGAGGGTTTCGGAAATAGGGGGCGGGGGCGAGGGACCCTAAACCCTAAACCCTAAACCCTAAACCTTACAACCTACACCCTAATACCCTAAACCCTAAAACCTAAAACCCAAACCCTAAACCCTAAACCCTACACCCTAGTACCCTAAACCCTAAAACCCAAAACCCTAAACCCTAAACCCTAAACTGAGTCGAGGTAAATCAATTCTCAGGGGTACCCCCCCCCCCCCCCCCCTATTTGGGGAGATGGACTCGTAAGGCTTGGGCGAAGCTACCCCTTTTCTCTCCATCTGGGTTTCTGCCCTACATTGTGGGGTTTCAAGATTAGGGTTTAGGGTTTAGGGTTTAGGGTTTAGGGTTTCGGGTTTAGGGTTTAGGGTTTAGGGCACCAAATTGGTGCCTGAACCATAAGGAATTTTCCGGAATACAGTATCATTATCTGATCAACGGAAGCTCACCAAAAAAGAGAAGCCCGGCAGTTGAGATCAAGCCGCAAACCAGCCAACTTCACATGACACCTCAAGCCACTGAAAGTACTTGTTTTCAAGACCCTAAACCCTAAACCCCCAAACCCTAAAATCCGAAACCCTAAACCCGAACAAGCCACCCGCCAGCCCTGATCCGCTACCAGAACCCTCCATCTCCCCCCACGAACCCCGAGTCTCAAACCCCGGGTTCCCGAACCCTAAAACCTCTACACCCGCAACCCCTGAACTTCTGCCTGAAACTTCTACACCCTAAACCCTAAACCCTATATTGCTAAACTCTAAACCCTAAACCCCTTCCTCTATTCGCCCGAGGTGCAACAGTGCCCGGAGGCGAGCAGCGGCGTCGGGCCAGCGAATTCGATCCTCCGCGCCCGCCGGGCGCTGGAAGCCAAACGGATTCCTGAAACCTAAACCCTAAACCCTAAACCCTAAACCCTAAACCCTAAACCCTAAACCCTAAACCCTAAACCCTAAACCCTAAACCCTAAACCCTAAACCCTAACAAAAAGTCATCTCACTTGCTATCTCAAGGTGCAGGGTCGGGCTTTAGGGTTTAGGGATTCGGGTTTGAAGCCTAGAATCCATGCATGTTCCTGTCAGGGTTTAAGAGGCTTACTGCTTATAAGCCCTGGAATCCAGGGCCCTTTAACAGCTTTAACAACGTTTAGAAGGCTAGTAGGGTTGAGGGGGCTTTGGGGCTTACTGTTAAAGGGCCTTGGGCCCCTTTCACAGGGTTTAGAAGGCTAGTAGGGTTGAGGGGGCTTTGGGGCTTACAGGGCCCTGGACATCCAGGGCCCCTTTCACAGGGTTTAGAAGGCTATAACAGGGGCTTTGGGGCTTACTGTTAAAGGGCCCTGGACATCCAGGGCCCCTTTCACAGGGTTTAGAAGGCTATAACAGGGGCTTTGGGGCTTACTGTTAAAGGGCCCTGGACATCCAGGGCCCCTTTCACAGGGTTTAGACGGCTATAACAGGGGCTTTGGGGCTTGCTGTTAAAGGGCCCTGGACATCCAGGGCCCCTTTCACAGGGTTTAGAAGGCTATAACAGGGGCTTTGGGGCTTACTGTTAAAGGGCCCTGGACATCCAGGGCCCCTTTCACAGGGTTTAGAAGGCTATAACAGGGGCTTTGGGGCTTACTGTTAAAGGGCCCTGGACATCCAGGGCCCCTTTCACAGGGTTTAGAAGGCTCTAACAGGGGCTTTGGGGCTTACTGTTAAAGGGCCCTGGACATCCAGGGCCCTTTTCACAGGGTTTAGAAGGCTATAACAGGGGCTTTGGGGCTTACAGGGGGTGTTATAAGGGGGCCCTGTTAAAGACATCCAGGGCCCCTTTCACAGGGTTTAGAAGGCATAACAGGGGCTGTTAAAGGGCCCTGGACATCCAGGGCCCCTTTCACAGGGTTTAGAAGGCTATAACAGGGGCTTTGGGGCTTACTGTTAAAGGGCCCTGGACATCCAGGGCCCCTTTCACAGGGTTTAGAAGGCTATAACAAGGGCTTTGGGGCTTACTGTTAAAGGGCCCTGGACATCCAGGGCCCCTTTCACAGGGTTTAGAAGGCTCTAACAGGGGCTTTGGGGCTTACTGTTAAAGGGCCCTGGACATCCAGGGCCCCTTTCACAGGGTTTAGAAGGCTATAACAGGGGCTTTGGGGCTTACTGTTAAAGGGCCCTGGACATCCAGGGCCCCTTTCACAGGGTTTAGAAGGCTATGGGCTTACTGTTAAAGGGCCCTGGACATCCAGTGCCCCTTTCACAGGGTTTAGAAGGCTATAACAGGGGCTTTGGGGCTTACTGTTAAAGGGCCCTGGACATCCAGGGCCCCTTTCACAGGGGGTTTAGAAGGCTATAACAGGGGCTTTGGGGCTTACTGTTAAAGGGCCCTGGACATCCAGTGCCCCTTTCACAGGGTTTAGAAGGCTATAACAGGGGCTTTGGGGCTTACTGTTAAAGGGCCCTGGACATCCGGGGCCCCTTTCACAGGGTTTAGAAGGCTATAACAGGGGCTTTGGGGCTTACTGTTAAAGGGCCCTGGACATCCAGGGCCCCTTTCACAGGGTTTAAAAGGCTAGGGCCCTGGACATCCAGGGCCCCTTTCACAGGGTTTAGAAGGCTATAACAGGGGCTTTGGGGCTTACTGTTAAAGGGCCCTGGACATCCAGGGCCCCTTTCACAGGGTTTAGAAGGCTATAACAGGGCTTTGGGGCTTACTGTTAAAGGGCCCTGGACATCCAGGGCCCCTTTCACAGGGTTTAGAAGGCTATAACAGGGGCTTTGGGGCTTACTGTTAAAGGGCCCTGGACATCCAGGGCCCCTTTCACAGGGTTTAGAAGGCTATAACAGGGGCTTTGGGGCTTACTGTTAAAGGGCCCTGGACATCCAGGGCCCCTTTCACAGGGTTTAGAAGGCTATAACAGGGCTTACTGTTAAAGGGCCCTGGACATCCAGGCCCCTTTCACAGGGTTTAGAAGGCTATAACAGGGGCTTTGGGGCTTACTGTTAAAGGGCCCTGGACATCCAGGGCCCCTTTCACAGGGTTTAGAAGGCTATAAAGGGCCCTGGACATCCAGGGCCCCTTTCACAGGGTTTAGAAGGCTATAACAGGGGCTTTGGGGCTTACTGTTAAAGGGCCCTGGACATCCAGGGCCCCTTTCACAGGGTTTAGACGGCTATAACAGGGGCTTTGGGGCTTGCTGTTAAAGGGCCCTGGACATCCAGGGCCCCTTTCACAGGGTTTAGAAGGCTATAACAGGGGCTTTGGGGCTTACTGTTAAAGGGCCCTGGACATCCAGGGCCCCTTTCACAGGGTTTAGAAGGCTATAACAGGGGCTTTGGGGCTTACTGTTAAAGGGCCCTGGACATCCAGGGCCCCTTTCACAGGGTTTAGAAGGCTGTAACAGGGGCTTTGGGGCTTACTGTTAAAGGGCCCTGGACATCCAGGGCCCCTTTCACAGGGTTTAGAAGGCTATAACAGGGGCTTTGGGGCTTACTGTTAAAGGGCCCTGGACATCCAGGGCCCCTTTCACAGGGTTTAGAAGGCTATAACAGGGGCTTTGGGGCTTACTGTTCAAGGTCCCTGTACATCCAGGGCCCCTTTCACAGGGTTTAGAAGGCTATAACAGGGGCTTTGGGGCTTACTGTTAAAGGGCCCTGGACATCCAGGGCCCCTTTCACAGGGTTTAGAAGGCTATAACAGGGGCTTTGAGGCTTACTGTTAAAGGGCCCTTGCATCAAGGGCCCCTTTCACAGGGTTTAGAAGGCTATAACAGGGGCTTTGGGGGTAGTATGGTCGTAGGGAAACCCATGAGTTGGGGATTGATGCTGGCGTTGCAGAGTGTGCAGGATTCAGGATGGGGAGGGCGTGAACACTTCGAGGCTCAGGGTACTTGTAACCCAATTACAACTGTACTTATAAGCCCCCTATGTATAAGTCCACTAAGTAGTTTATATATATATATATATACATATAAGTGGACTGATAGTTGGGGTTATAAGTACCCATGAACCTCCGAGCATTGATGGCCACCGACAGCCCTCAATCGCACAGGTGGGCGAACGTGCTGGTAAAGTGTCTTCACCCAACGTGTAATTACACACAGATCATGGGTTCCCCTACTACCCCCCTCTATACTACCCCCCCCTATAGGTTCCCCCCATAATTAAGGCCATTAATCCTAACTAAGGATATTTAAGGGGGGAACCCAGGGGGGGGGGGGGTAGTGTAGAGGGGGGGTAGTAGGGGAATCCATGGACAGGGTTAGGGTTTAGGCCGTTTAGGGTTCTCAAGGTTTAAGGTTTAGGCCGTTTAGGCGTTAAACCCTAGGCCACAAACCCCAACCGGTCCACCACCGCGCCGAGCGGCAAAGAGACCTTCTCTGTCTCTGTCCCTTCCTTGGCTGACTTCTGCACCCCTCCTCAACGTCTAACTTTTAGGCTCCTTCTTGTAGTTTCTACACAAACCCAAAAGGGTTCAAGTCCCAAGAGCCTGCCAAAAGAAAGCCAAGCTTCGCGCTCTTCCGGCGACACCTTGGCCTGCGACTCGCCACGGAGCGAGGTGAGGTCAAAGAGCCTCAGGGGAAATGGAAATTTAGGGGCCTTCATAATCAGAATATCTATTATTATTTTTTGTGTATATATATATATATTTTTTTTTTTTTTTTTTTTTTTTTTTTGGGGGGGGGGGGGGGGGGGGGGGGGTATTGTAGTACAAGCACAGGAATACTACTAGTAATTGTTCCGACCCTAGGCAGAGGGCGTTTAGGGTTTAGGGTCTAGGCCTTATAAACCCTAAATTTCAGGGTTGGGGTTGTCAAGGGTTTTATGGGCTGAAGATTGAAACCAGGGTTTTTCATGTTTTTTTTCTTTTTTGTTGGGGTGGGGGGGGGGTTAGTGGGTTTTATGGAGCGGGGGGGGCGGTGGGGGGGGGGGGGGGGGGGGGGGGGCGGGGGGGGGGGGGGGCGGGGGGGGGGGGGGGGCGGGGGGGGGGTGGCGGGGGGGGGGGGGGGGCGGGGGGGGGGGCGGGGGGGGGGGGGGGGGGGGGGGGCGTAATAATGGGTTGCCGCAGGTCACAGTCGTGTCGTCAGCATGTTTGTACTTCATGTTGTTGCCAAAAACCAACGACTTGCCAGCTTCGATTTGTCTGTTGTGGACAAGCCGAAGAGGCGGAAGCTAGCCGTTTGCAAGTCATTGAACTGAAGGCTTGATGAGAGATACAAGGTGTTGTCGTCGTCATTCGGTGAAGTCGAGGCTGTGCCTGGTCTCTGGCCCATGGGAGACTTCCAGGGTTTTGTCAGGCTAGTCCCAAAGCCCTAAACCCGAAACCCTAAACCCTAAACCCTCAACCCCCAGGAGGAGGACTATCACCCTAAACCCTAAACCCTAAACCCTAAACCCTAAACCCTAAACCCTAAACCCTAAACCCTCAACCCCCAGGAGGAGGACTTGCAGTCCAGTAAGGTCGTCGCTGAGGTCCGAGCTGGGCTCGTCGGAGCCATTGAAACGGAGTTTATCACTGAGCTGACGGTATCTCTTAACAAACAAAGTACGTTATCACCCTAAACCCTAAACCCTAAACCCTAAACCCTAAACCCTAAACCCTAAACTCTAAACCCTAAACCCTAAACCCTAAACCCTAAACCCTAAACCCTCGCTTCGTGAACGACACCCCAGACCCTGAATCGAGGCCAGGGCTCACCAAAAAAGAGACCGACACTTACAATAAAACTTAAACCCGCCACTAGGGGATAGGATTAGGGGGACCCTTGGGGATAAAGACCCTCTGAATAAGGTCCCTGTTTAAGAGAGCCAGACGAGGGTTCAGAAGGGGTTCCCTTTTAAGGGTCCCCCATATCCTACCTAGGAGCCACGAACCACGGGGGGGATTAGGGAAAAACCCGAAACCTTGACCGGAACCCTGAACCCTAAACCCCCACGACCCACAGGGGGAGAGGGCAACCCTCAACTTACAACCTAAACCCTACGGCCACCATGAACCACGGTGGGCAAAGGGAAATCCCTAAACCCTGCAGCCTAAGGTTTAGGGCCTAAAACCCTGAACCCTAAATCCTGAACCCTAAAACCCTAAACCTTAAGCTCACCATGGACCCAGACCGTGAACCACACGGGGGATGACTTCTCCGGACTACCGGCTTCTTTCTGCTGACCAGAGGCCATCAATCCTCAACCCCAACACAGCTCTAAACCCTATATAAGCCTCCTCAACCTTAAACCCTAATCCCCGAGCCCTGAACGCTAAACCTGAAACCCGAAACCCCAAACCCTGAACCCTACGTACACCTAAAACCCTAAACCCTGAACCCTAAACCTGAAACCTGAAACCCTAAACCCTAAACCCTAAACCCTAAACCCTAAACCCTAAACCCTAAACCCTAAACCCCAAACCTCAACTCACGAGGCCAGGAAGCTCGGCAGAAGAGTCGCTGCAGACTGCCAGGATGCTGGCCGGACGATGCCAGAAAGGGGCCTCCTCGCGGAAGACCTGCACCTTATGCAGGGAGTGGGGGGGGGAGATCTTGCGGGGCTTTGGTTTAGGGTTTAGGGTTTAGGGTCTAGGGCTTAGGGCTTAGGGCTTAGGACTTAGGGCTTAGGGTTTAAGGTTTAGGGTTCGGGTTTAGGATTTAGGGTTCAGGGTTTAGGGCTTAAAGAAGTTTAGTTTTTGTTTGTTCGGGGGCCTTGGTTTGGTGGATCATGGGGGATTCTATAAACCCTACAAGCCTGAAACCCGCCGAAAAAGCCAAGAAATCCAAAGCCCTGTGAATGCTAGACCCTAAACCCTTGGTTGTGGCTTAGCTGTCCAGTACCTAGGGGTTTTTAAAGGTTAACCTTTGGGATTATAAGGGGAATAAATTAACCCAAAAAGGTTAAAGGTTACCTACTCTACTACTAAGTGTGGCTTAGCCGTGGGTAGAGGTTAGCATGACCCCAGCTGAGAGGTCTGCGATGAGCCCTTGGTTTAGGACTGCAGGAGCGGACGAGGTTCCGCATCTCTCCATGGTGCTTGGGAATCCGGGAGCCCCTAAAGCCTATAAATCTGAAACCTTAAACCCTAAGCGCATAATGAGGTTTTAGGGTCGAGGCTTTAGGGTTTGCCTGGGGTCTTCGGGTTGAGGGTTTCTGGCTTTAAAGCCATTTAGTGGAAGGTCTTGGGCCTTGTTCATTGTTGGGTTTAGACTGGACAGGACTCATGAAAGGCTTAGAAGGCAAGCAAAGATCGAACTCATGAGGGTTTAGTAGGAACTCATTAGGGTTTAGTAGGAACTCATTGGGGTTTAGTAGGAACTCATGAGGGTGTAGTAGGAACTCATGAGGGTTTAGTAGGAACTCATGAGGGTTTAGTAGGAACTCATGAGGGTTTAGTAGGAACTCATGAGGCTTTAGTAGGGTTCATTGAAGGTTTTTTTTTTGGAAAAGGGACGTGAGGTCTCATGGTCAATCGGGGATAGATGGGGTTTAACAAGTTGCACTAGGGTTTACAAAGGGTTTAAGAGGGTTTAATGAGGGTTCAATTAGGGTGTCATGGGGATAGGGCTTGATAAGGAGCTCCATAGGGTTTCATAGGGTTTTAAGTAGGTTCAGTAGGGTTGATGAGGTTTCAGGGTGGGCTCTGCGGCACGGGGTTTCGCAGTCATACGGGATATGCTGGCACTGGATGACGACTTACTCGTTACGCTGCCACAACGCCCACCCGAACCCCTCAATAACCTGATCCTCCCTACATCTTTTAAGCAAACTTCTATTTTGACCTTCCCTCCCCCCCCTCTCCCTTCCCAGACCCCAAAAACCCCGAACCCCTAAACCCTAAACCATAACCCTAAACCCTAAATCCTAAACCCCAAACTCTCCCAGCCCAAAGGGGAAGCCGGGCGGCAGCCAGCACGGGAGCATCGCGCAGCCGCTGGCAGGCTTCCAAGGCTTCTTCTGCTGTCGTGATGGCCTGTCTTTCGGAAGGGGTTACAAAACATGGAGAAGATCCACTCCACACACACGCGCACTATGTATACATGTATATATATATGTGTGTGTGTATAAAAGTACATAAATATAAATATTTACACAGAAATATAAATACAAATAACTAATAAATAAATAAATATATATATATATATATTTTAATTATTTATATTTCTTTATTGGTTCATTTATTTGCCTATGTATTTATATTTCATGTGAATATATATATATATATATATACATGTATATATTATATGTATTATATATATATATATATATGTATATGTGTGTGTGTGTGTGTATGTTTCTGTGCATGTGCAAGTATAGGTATGTTGGCTTAAGGGGAAATCATTCTCGGCATAAATTTGGTAGAAGGAAACGAGTTTTGGCCCAAATCTTCCCCCGCCGCTGTGAAGAACCCTGAACCCCAAACCCCAAATGGGCCTCTCCTCCTAATCCCTAAACCCTAAACCCTAAACCCTAAACCCTAAACCCCAAACCCCAAAACCCCAAATGCGCCTGTCCCCGGAAGGGCAGCAAGAAGCCCGCAGAGTCGACGGGAGCGAAGATGCATTGCTCTCCTCTCGGTCTCGCGAACATTTTCCCCTAACGCCCTAAATGGTTTAGGGTTTAGGGTTTAGGGTTTAGGGTTTAGGGCAAGTTTAGGGTTTAGGGTTTAGAATTTAATGTGGGCCGTTCCCCATTATACTAACAGTCCTTACTAGGGATTATAATATGGGGGGGGGGTACTGGAATCCCTGTTAAGGACTGTTGGTATAAGGGGCAACATCCCAAGCGACCCCCCCAAACCGCTGCGGGCCTCAACTTCCGACAAGAATGGCCTGTTCTTTTTTGGTTTATAGGGCTTAGGGGTTTAGGGTTTAGGGTTGGGCAAATAATCGTTCAGGCTGAGAGTGTAAGTGGGGTCTAGCTTCCACCGCAGTCTGAAAGGTCCATCACGCCCCATGTCCGCGCACTTTGTGCAGAAACCCTAAACTCTGTTTCGCGGTTGGCTTCTGATTCCTAGTCGCTGATTTGCAGGCCAGGTTCTGATGGTTTGACTGATCTTCTACCAGTAGGCCTGCAGCACGCCTCTTGCGAGCTACGAGTCCGTACGTAGGGGCACGTTTAGGGGTACAATCTTAGGGATGCGAGTCATAATTCCTTGACAGATGCTCACACCACAAAATTCCAATAGACACCAGAAACCCTGAACAGTAAACCCTGAACCCTAAACTCGAAGCCCTAACCCTACACCCTAAACTCTAAATCCTAAACCCTAAACCCTAGCCCTAAACCCTAAACCCGACATGACGGGGCAGCTTGACTCTCCTTGGCCACCCTCCGCGCCATCGTCACTCAGGGTCAAGATCTGCTGCAGCCGGCCAAGCTCCACGTCCCCCAAGGCCATCTCCACCTCATCAGCAAGGGTTTTTCAGGGTTATAGTATAGGGTTTAGGGTATAGGGTTTAGGGTTTAGGGTTTAGGGTTCAGGGTTCAGGAATCATGAGTTAGGGTTTTTTCGGGCTATCGTGCAGAGTTTAGTTTAGGCTTTTGGGTTTGGGGTTTCGAGTTTATGGCCTAGATCTAGGATTTAGGGTCTAGGGCTTAGTACAAGTGGGCCATACGGGTTATAAGGGTTATGAGCGCTATATAGCGTTGTAGGGGGTTCTTTGAGGTTGGAAGGGTTTCAAGGGTCACGGAGGTTACAAGGGTGGCCGGGTTCTAGGAAAAACTATGACATCCTCAGCCCTATGACATCCTCAACCCTGAACCCACTTCTTGACTCTGGCAAGCATTTGGGGCCCCACAGAATTGTAGGTTCACCTCATGGTCCGAAGGTTTGGGGTTTAGGGTTTAGGGCCCACCTCTTGATGGGAAAGGGGGCTACTTGGCTGGGGTGTAGGGATAAGGGGAATGAGGGTTTTTGGGGTTGAGGGTTTGGGGTTTAGGATTTAGGGTTTAGGGTTTAGGGTTTAGGGGTTGAAGGTACTGAGGATCAGAGTATATAGTGTCAGGGCATCTAGGGTTGAGGGTATTTAGGGTGCGGGGTATTGAAGGTTTACGTGGGGTCGAGGGTATACCCTCCCCCAAGGTGACAAAAAATGCAGATAAATAAGTAAACCGTAACAGAATCTCTAACTTCAGAACCCAGGCCCAGGTAGACTTTCATTTAGAAGGATCTGAACTCACGGTCGACGACTTTTAGGGTTTAGGTGGCTTAGGGCTGAGGCTTTAGGCTTTGGGGTTTGGGGTTTAGGGTTTAGGGTTAGGGCTCTGGAACCCTGAGCACCCAAGCACTGAACACGGGCCTAACTGGGCCTAACTGCCTTGTAACATCCTAGTCTTAAAAAAGTACCTCTAAAGGGGGAGGGTTGTGGGCCGAAGCCTAGAAGTACGCAAGGCTCTCGGGTTAGAGGATTTTGGGTCTTCAGGGTCTAGGGCAGAATACCATTCCCACCTGGCCCGCAACTGCATCGCTGCCCTGATCGGCGCTGGGGAGGCGAGATAGCCTGGGTTCATCTCCTAAACCGCAAGCGCGGCAGAAGAGGGTCCTACTCTTTGGGGGACTTTATTAGGGGCGTCCCTTATTTCGTGAACCCCCGTATGTTGTAATCCCATAGTCACTAGTCTCTGTATAAGGTACGACCTTTGAAGTTCTCAGATGCACCTCAGAGGGGAGCAACATGGTAAGGCTCCAAGCAAGACTCGCCAGTTGAGCCCTAATTACCCCCTGCCTTTCGACCCCCACAAAGTATTCATGACAATGGCCTTCAATTGTTCCTAAACCCTAAACCCTAAACCCTAATCCTCCCCCCCCCCTACCCTCAGTGGAGGCGAAGAGCAGCATCGCAGCATCGGCGATCCGTCCCCGCTGCCGGAGACTGAAGGCCACGTCCTGGCCGATGCTGGCGTCCGAGTCGACGAAGTCCTTGGCAGTTTAGGGTTTAGGGTGTAGGGTTCAGGGTTTGGGGTTTGCGGTTTTCAGTAGGGTTTAGGGTTTGGAGTTTAGGGTTTTCAGGGTTATAGGGTAGGGTTTAGGGTTTAGGGTTTAGGGTTTCGGGTTTAGGGTTCAGGGTTCAGGGTTTAGGGTGTAGGGCTTAAGGTATGTGCCGAGAGTCCATGAGCCGGGAAACAGGCAAGGCGCCACCACGCTTGGTGTCCTGGATTTGGGCAGCAAAGCCCCAAGACTTGGATCGGATCTCCACTGTTAAACCTTAAACCTTAAACCCTAAACCCTAAACCACTGTTTCTTCGGGCTGCACTTGTACATGTCCACTCCAACCTGCAATCCTAAACCCTCAAGTTCGATACCTGCGAACCGAATGTGCCGCGAAGTGTGAAACAAGGCTTGTTTGGATGCAGTCGATGCTCGTACATGATACACTAAGCAGGAATGACAGAACCCATGCCGGAAGTTCTTCTGCACTGTACAACCTTAAACGTCATGGATTTTGCGAAAAGGCAGCATAGAGATGCATTGACAGAGTTGATTATACCGTCCCATAAACCCCAAACCCCAAGCCTTAAGCCCTAAACCAGGCTGAATACCCCCAAACCGACCCTTCGCGTCCAGGGCCCATCGACGCAGCGCACAGCGTCGGATGGCGCCGTCCCTGCTGCAGTATTTGGATTTAGCTGTTGTGTAGGGTTTAGGGTTTAGGGTTTAGGGTTTAGGGTTTAGGGTTTAGGGTTTAGGGTTTAGGGTTTAGGATTCGGGTTTAGGGTTTAGGATTTAGGTTTAGGATTCGGGGGTTAGGGTTTAGGAGTGTAGGGAAAAGTGGGGTTTTGAGCATGGCCTTGGGATCTCTACGCCGATGTGCTCCGCAATCCCACAGACGATCTCCTTGGGGACTAAGTGAACCCTAAAAGGGTTTAGGGTTTAGGGCTAAGGGGTCGGTGTTTAGGGTCCATATACTTTGATAGGACCCTGATTCATAGACCATAGACCCCAGACCCTAAACCCAAACCCCCTCCTCCTGATTTCTTTTATTTCTTTTATTTTGCCTCTCTCTTTTTTTTTTTTTTTTTTTTTTGGGGGGGGGGGGTGGTGAATTTCGTCCCCAAGGCTCGAAGTCGTCCAGGTCTGCGTGTGCCTCGAATCGCTGGTCGAGGTTCTGCACCACCTGCAGAATGGTTTAGGGTTTAGGGTTTAGGGGTTTAGGGGTTTAGGGTTTAGGGTTAATAAGGGTTTAGGGGTTTAGGGCTTTAAGGTTTAGCTGCTTCAAGTAAGTGTTGAAGCTGTTTAGGGTTTCGGGTGTAAAATGTCGGCCCTTTTTTTGAACTATATCAAACCCCCAACCCTAAAAAGCCTAAAGCAACCAACGCCGAGCCCCAAGCCCTAAATCCCAAGCCCCAGCACCCTAAACCCCAAACCCTACACCCCAAGCCCCAAATCCTGAAGCCCTAAGCCCTAAGCCCTAAGCCCTAAGCCCTAAGCCCTAAGCCCTAAACCCTAAACCCTAAACCCTAAACCCTAAACCCTAAACCCTAAACCCTAAACCCTAAACCCTAAACCCTAAACCCTAAACCCTACCCAGCCTTCTGCCTGTCTGCAACGGACGCAGCGCCAAGGATGCCGCTCAGCATGTCGCGCCGCTCGCGCCAGGGCCTGTTTACGGTTTAGGGTTTGGGGTTTAGGGTTTAGGGTTTAGGGTCTAGGGTCTAGGGTTTAGGGTTTAGGGTTTAGGGTTTAGGGTCTAGGGTTTAGGGTGGTGATGCGGCGGTTTCGGGCTTTCAGGGTTTAGGGGTCATAGGGTCTCTAGGGTTTGGGGTCATAGTGTTGCGGGATTCGGGACGATAGGGTTTAGGAGTATAGGGTTTAATATAAGGCTGATACATTTCGGAACTTAAACTGGGGCTCGGAGGGTGTAGGGATTCGGGACGAAACCCTAAACACTAAACCCTAAACCCTGAAACCTGAAACCCTAAACCCTAGATAGGCCCATTTGGGAGGTAACCTTAATAGCGACCTCAAGCGGCCGTAGCCTTACAATAGCGCGCCCTACGTAGAGGGCCGAAACTGCAGATCGACACGCTTAAACAGGTTCGTCGCGGTTAGGCTTTAGGGTTGAGGGCTTAGGGTTTGGGGTTTCAGGGTTTATAGGGGCTTAGGGGTTTGGGGCTTAACTTGGGGCTTAAGGTGTACTGCAGGGTTAGCTCTTCAAAGTTGTCGGTTTTTGGCCTGCAGGGTTTAGGGCTTAGGGCTTCGGGGCAGGAGATGAGAAGGCCTGCGCCACCCTAACCTCACAACCACTCCGATCATAGAAAGTAGCAACAGCAGTACGAGTGAAAATGAAACAGCTCATCACAATAACCCCAAACCCTACACCCTGTGGACCCTAAACCCGAAACCCTAGAGCCTAGACCCCAAACCCTGAACCCTAAACACCAAACCCGAAACCCTATAGACCCTAAACCCTAAACTCCTTTAACCCCAAACCCTAAACCCAAAACCCTACACCCTAAACCCTAAACCTCAACCCCAAACCCTAAAGACTCAGCAGGGGCCTCTCCAGGTTCAGCACTTGCTGCACCAGCAGCTCCGCACGCTCCGACTCCAGCTCGACGCCGATGGCAATCATCTGCGCGGCCAGCAGCGCGAAGCGCTTGTAGTTCCTTGGTTACAGGGTTGGGGTTTAGGGCTTAGGGTTTAGGGTTCAGGCTTTAGGGTTTGGGGTTTCGGGCTTAGGATCTAGGGTTCAGAGTTACGAGGGTCAACCTGGGAATGACAAAAGGCAGATACTCTTGGGACTCTTCAGACTTAAGGCTGCCAATGTCTGCCTCCGCAGGTCTCGAGTTCGGAAGCTGCTGAGGGCCTTAATCCCCTCACCCTAAAATTAACCGGTTTTAGGGTTTAGGGTTTAGGGTTTAGGGTTTAGGGCCCCCTGATTTTACATACTCCCCATACACAATTACACAATAATCAGGGGAGACTGGATACGTATGCTTGACGAGGACTTAATCGGAATCGGGGTTGCCGGTAACCTGTAAAATAACAGGGGGCGTCTCTTATCACTTCTCTCTTGCTTTCCACCCCCCTCCCCCCCCCTCCCCCCCCCCAAACTCTATAAACTCTATCAAAGCAAGAAACCTTGCAAACCCTCTAGCCCCTGTAAATCCTACACCCCCTAATAAGATCCCTATAATCCCCTACTATAAACCCTGCAATCCCTGTCGTCCCTATAATCCTTCTAAACCGTATAAACCGTATAAACCCTTAACCCCGGAACCCCCTCGGCCCTAAAGTCTCCCACCGAACCCGACCCCTAGGGTTCTTGAGCTGCAACGCCACCGTAAAGCCGAATTCCTAGGCCTCGACAGCCCCAGAGCCCCTCTAAGACAAAACACCAAGGCTCAGGGCTTAGGGTTTAGGGTACCCCCCAAAAACCCTCAACGCCTCAAGGGGCAAAATCCCTACCGCCGAACTCCCGTGAAACCGAAGCTTCCGGTGGTCTGGGGCTCGCGTGGGGTTCTCGACGAAGGCCTGCGGTTTCTCCCATTTGGGGTTTAGGGTTTAGGGTCTAGGGTTGAACTTTCAAGCTCACGGGCAGAAGTTATTATTTTTAGGCTTGGAGTCATGAGACAACCCAAGTGCTCTCCAAACTCTATCCCAACCACTGTTACAATCCCAGCTCAACCCTAAAGCACCAAAGGGCCTGCTTCCACAAGGCCTCGCGGAGCTCGCTTGCTGTGACGCACGATGGAAGCCTCCGCTCCGCGGCTTAGAGGTTTAAAGGATTTGGTTGGGATGTTGCTGTGGAGGCCATTGAAGCCGGGAAGCTGTGCAGAGGTTCAGGACGCCCTCTCACTCTAAACCCCACTTCCTGGGTTTCCCGACTACCCCCAGCACGTTTTCTGAGGCGTTCCTCTAATCATTGCATATTTTGTACAGCCTGGCACGTCCGACCAGGACTTTGTCAGCTTGTCTTGTCTGAAAACTAACAAAACTGAAACCTAGAACTACTAAAGCCCTAAACCCCAAACGCTAAAATCCCTAACCCCCAAAACCCTGAACGCCTAAAATCCCAAAACTCTTAGGCCCTTACAACCCTTTGAGCCCTAAGAATAAGCCCTGTATAAGCCCCATAAATAAACCCCAAAACCCTGTATAAACCCTATGTAAACCCTTGACAAGCCCTAGAAAATAGCCCTCAAACCTAAACCCTAGCTAAGCCCTATTTTTTAGAAACCCTACACCCGGTAGCCCGGTAACCTTCTTCTAACAAGGGCACCCATTTTTTGGCTGGTTACTTTATAAGGGAGCCCAGCACCAAAAAAAGGTAAAGGATGCTACTAGGCTACCAAGTAGATAAGCCCTAAACCCTAAACCCTAAACCCTAAACCCTAAACCTAAACCCTAAACCCTAAACCCTAAACCCTAGACCCTAAACCCTAACCCTAAACCCTAAACCCGAAATAAGCCCTGCTATATCTATAGTATAGAAACCCTAAATAAGCCCGGCCGCTGGCCCAGGAGCTGGCAGAGGCCAGGCCAGGCGGCCACCGAGATCGACCGCTGTCTCAGAGGTTAGGGTTTAGGGTTTAGGGTTGAGGGTTGAGGGTTGAGGTTGTAGGGTTTAGGGTTCAGGGTTGACGGTTGAGGGTTGAGGGTGTAGGGTTTAGGGTGTAAGGTTCAGGGGGCTACTTTCGGGGTTCTGAGGTTTGGGGTTTACGGCTTGGGGTTCTGCGAAAAGCCAGCCCGATAAGTCAACGAGCCCTGAAAAGCCTCTACACTCTCAGGAGATGAACACCTACGCGCAAACCGTGTAGACCCATAAAACCCTATTCAGCCCTATGTAATCCATCATTAAACCATACTAAGCCCTTTAAACCCACTAAGGCCAGTAGAAACCCAGAAAGCCCTTGTGTAAACCACATAAAAGTCAGTACTTCTGGTGGACCGTGCTACACCAAGGGCAGCTCCTGATTCAGCGCATGCTCCTTCCACTCCTGACGGCTTCACTCGAAACCCAAACTGCGGTTTGGGGTTTAGGGTGTAGGGTCTGCCCTAAACCAAGAACTCCACTTCGAATACATGACAAGCGCAAGCTACATGCCCACAACCGTAAATGCACCCGCACCAGGAACCTAACCAAGACCTGGAACCATTCGGTTCCCTCAGCAGCTGGAAAGGTGGAGGTCGCTTTTGCGCCGGACAATATACTAACACACGCGCATCACACGCACCCTCAAACATGTCCTGAAGCCACAAAGGACAGACCATAATTACCCTAGGATTAGGGTGGTTTATTATTTGGGGGGCCATCTTAGGCCCCCCCCCCCCTATTTTCGTATATTTCCATGTATATAGGAATGTATTTCTTTTTCAGGACTGCGGGTCCTGCGCCACGGCTTCATCAAACTGGCCCAGCACCCCCGAGAGAAAGCGAAGGAGGCACTCTTGGGGTACGCGGCAGTCGCGCCAGCCACGCATCGCCACAAAACCATGCCACACCTCCGCTGCGAGATTCTGAAGTCTACGTCCCTGCCAGGACGGGCTATTATACTCTAGAACCCCTGAAGAAGGCCCTTTATAGGATTTTGGGGATTAGAGGGCCTAACAGCCCATCCTGGTGCAGGCCCAGAACCCAAAACTTTAAAGCGATGAACCCCTGGAGCACTCAGTACTCAACCGCACAATTGAGATCCAAATCCAAACCGCACCCTAAACCCCAAACCCCAAACCCTAAACCCCAAACCCCAAACCCTAAACCCTTAACCCTTAACCCTAAACCCTAAACCCCAAACCCCAATATTGCAAAACCCAGGTAACCCCATGCACCCTATAAGGACCTATAAACCCTAGCACCATATAAGGACCTATAAACCCTAAACCCCAAACCCTTTATTGCAAAAACCAGGTAACCCCATGCAAGTCGTCGACAGAGAGGACGTTGGCTCGCCACGGATCGACGAGGATGGACCCAGCCACCGCCAGAAGCTGCGACTCTACACCTTCTGGGGGTTTAGGGTTTAGGGTTTAGGGTTTAGGGTTTGGGGTTTGGGGTTTGGGGTTTAGGGTTTAGGGTTTGGGGTTTGGGGTTTGGGGTTTAGGGTTTAGGGTTTAGGGTTTGGGGTTTAGGGTTTGGGGTTTGGGGTTTGGGGTTTGGGGAGGGTTTGGGGTTTGGGGTTTGGGGTTTCGGGTTTATGGGTCCTAAGGGTCCATGTACCTTATTATTCTGTACTTGGGCTCTAAAGGCCCCAAATGGGAGGTAACTTCAAGGCCCAAGCATTCCCTGCTTAGGTACATGGACCCTTAGGGTTAGGGCTTACGGGGGCTTGTGCTAAGGCAGTCAGGGCTCTAGGACTTGCTCTAGACTTCAGTCTATACCGTCTATACCTGAATACGGGTATGAACCCTAAACCCTAAACCCTAAACCCTAAACCCTAAACCCTAAACCCTAAACCCTAAACCCTAAACCCTAAACCCTAAACAGGCAACCTGAGACCAAACCCAGCCATCGCTGTGAAACCCGTTAGAGGCTTTGCAGGCGGGCTGAGGCCCTAATCATATTGACCCTATAAGCCCCATGAAGCCGGCAAGCCCTCTCTATATACACCCAATACGCCCTATCCACCTTATTCTACGCCCTACAAGCCCTTGAATGGTTGAAGGGAAGAAGGTGCTCGATAGATGTGCGTGAGGTTTGGGGCTTCCTTTCTTCCCAGAAAAGCGATAAACTCTGAAAACCCTCAACCCTCAACCCTCAACCCTCAACCCTAAACCCTAAACCCTAAACCCTAAACCTAACCCCTAAACCTAAACTTCAGTCGGCCCGCCTCTTGCGCGCCGCATTGTCGCCCGACTGAACTTTCCTCAGCTGCTCCTAGATCCGCGTTTCTAAGCATGCAAAATGGCCCTTTACCATTGTAACTATCTTTGGCCCCTTAGTATGGGCCCCTACAAGGGGACCCCCTTACATACCCCATACAAATTCTGGGCCCATACTTGAGAATCCTTTAGAGGAGGTAAGGGACGAGATTACCGGCCCATAAGACTACCCTTAGAAACTACTACACCCTAAACCCTAAACCCTAAACCTTGTACCCTAAACCCTAACCCAAAACCCTTAAACCCTAAACCCTAAACCCCAAACCCTAGGCGCTCCTTTTTGCATACGTTTGAACACTGTGTGCTCGAGCCCCTTGTGAATGCAAGTTGTGCGGCCCCCTTCTCATTGGAACATGTTAGTTGGGATGTTCCAGCTTGTACTAACAGTCCTTAGGGATTCTAGTACCCCCTTGTTGGAATCCCTGTTAAGGACCGTTTTTATAAAGGGAGAACATCCCAACATGTTAGAGCCATCAAAGCTTTTAAGAACTAAACCCTAAACCCTAAACCCTAAACCTGAACCCTAAATTTCCCAAAAAACAGTCAGGCATCTGTCATCGCAGCCCAGGACGTAGTGCCGGAGCTCCTGCGCGGACTCTCAGCTGAGCACTTGAAAAATTAGGGTTTAGAGTTTAGGGTTTAGGGTGTAGGGTTTAGGGTTTTAGAGGTGCTTCCCCCCAACTGCAACCGCCCTTACTAGCAAGATGCTAGGGAAGTCAAGGACCTTAGAATCCCCTTTTGCCCCCAGCCACCTCCAAGACAAGAAGAGCGAACGCATAGCCGCATAGCCAATGCAGAGAGAAACAGAGAGACATCGCAAGAGAGAGAGAGAGAGGGAGAGAGAAAGAGAAACCCAAAACCCAAAACCCTAAAACCCCCAAACCCTGGAAGAAAAAACCTAAACCCCCAAAACCGCAAAAAAACAAAACCCGAAGACCCAAACCCCACACGAATCCATATGAGTGAGTAGACTGTAGACTCCATTCAGCATAAGGCTCCCTGAATCCCTGAACCCTAAACGCTAAAATGATCCTAAACTCAACACCCAAACCCGAAACCCTAGACCCGAAACCCTAAACCCTGCCAGAGCTCAGCTCTCACATTCCTCTTTCTGCAGCATCCTCAACCCTTGTCTCGGAGATCCTTGCAACCATCCTGTAAAAAACAACTAGCATACTCAACTTGGTAGCTGGACCCCAAACCCCGAACCCTAGACACCAAACCCTACACCCTAAACCCTAATAAACCCCAAACCCTAAACCCTAAACCTCACCCCCCCCCCCCCCCCCCAAAAAAAAAATAGTAAAAAAAAGGAAAATGATAGTAATAACAATACTAGCAATAAATAACAACGAAAAACAAGCAAAAGAGCCCCAACAGGCGCCTGCATGAACATGACCAGGCCGGCTTCGAGAGCCTTGCGCGCCGACCCGCACTTGGTGACCAGGCCCTTGCCGGCGCTGGGCTTGAGGGTCGTGGGGGTCTAGGGTTCAGGGTTCAGGGTTCAGGGTTTAGGGTTTAGGGTTTAGGGTTTTAGAGCTTGAGAGTTTTGGAAGTTTGGGTTCGGGGGTTCGGGTTTTGGAGGTTAGGGCTTCGGGGGTTTGGGTTTTTGGGGATTGGGGTCCCAGGGTTTTAGAGTTTCAAGGGTTTCAAGGGTTTTAGGGTTTCAGGGTCTTAGGGTCGTACCCTCAGGGTTTAGGGTTTAGGGTTTAGGGTTTAGGGTTTAGGGTTTACGGTCTTGCGGACTGTCTCGAAGAAGCTCCTTGGAGACAAACTACGTAGGACTGAATTACTGCGAATTCGCTGGCCAGGCCTTTGGTTTATCAGTTTAAGGTTAGGTCTCTAGGGTTTAGGTCTCAATCTGAAATCCTTGGGGACCTTGGTAGCATAGGAACCATCTTAAAATAAGGGCACCCAAGTAAGTTGGCCACTTTGTAAGGGAGCCCAGAACCCCCCCCCCCCCCCCCTCAAAAAAAGGGGGGCAAAGGGTACCGCTGGGCTACCGAGGGACTAAGCGAACCCTAAAACTGGCCGTCATCCACCCTATACTGCTATATCATCCCCATTGAGGTATGTGGATCATAAACCCTAAACCCTAAACCCGGCTCACTCTTCATCTTCGTCACACATCTCTGGCTTGAAGGGTTCCCTATACCCTAGACCCTAAACCCTAAACCCTAGACCCTAAACTCTATAAACCCTAAACCCTATCACGTAAACCGTAAATCCTAAACCCTAAACCTTAAATTTAACCCACTAGACCAGTTTGGCCCCGGGCTGCAGGGCTGGGTTATTGAAGGCTTGGTGATATCTTCTTGAGCGCCCACAATGAAGCTACTCTCTCCCAGTCCTGCACCCTAAGCCAAACCGCAACTGAACGGTCTAGGGAATTGGGGTTGAAGGTTTAGGGTTTAGGATTTAGGGTTTAGGGTTTCGGCTAATCTGAAGCCCGCCTGCAATGATTCCACCGAGAGTGGCCGCAGGATCATCTCTTTGTAGATGCGGTACTCCTTCGGTGGGAGGCCTAGAAATGCCAGGGTCGACAGGGCCGACCCTGAAAAATCACATCACGAAGGTTGCGAAATTAAATCAAATCTGCCCAAGCCACTCAAGGAGAAAAAACAAATTCCCAAAGACCTACCTAGAAACGCTGAACCCCAAACCGTACACCCCACACCAACCAAGAACAAAGGCGCACGTCCACATCCTTAGGCCTCAAAGTCGTAAAGCCACCGGGCCAAGCGTAATACCAACAGAGAGAAAAAGAGCGAGAGAGAGAGAGAGAGAGGGAGAGAGCGAGAGAGACAGAGGGAGAGAGAGAGAGCGAGAGAGAGAGAGAGAGAGACCCCGAGCCCCCCAAACCCTAAAAACATCTAAAACCCAATATACCTAAAACCCCGAACACCTTAAGCCATAAACCCTACAACCCCCGAACCGCGCTTTACACCGCCGTGAAGCTCCTTGAGTTCGGGACCCGCCGGGTCCCCGCTCGGGGAGGCATCGCTGTCGGAACTCATGACCTGTCTTTGGTGGGTGGGGGAGGGGGGGGGGGGGGTTGATTGCTGGTTGCTGGTTTCGGTCCCAGAGCAACCTAGGGTGTAGGGCCAGTGTAGGGTTTCGGGCTTGGGATTTAGGGACTCTTTTGTTGCACAGGGGTTATGGATCTTGAGCGGGTTAGGGTTTTGAGGTTTAGGGTTTCGGGTTTGGGGTTCTGGCGTGTGCAAAACTTGATGAACCCTATGAGCCCTATAAAGCCCTGTAAAGCACTACAAGGCCCGATAAGCGGTACAAAACCCTACAAAGCCCCATAAAACTCTGCAAAGCCATGCAAGCCCGACCTGTTCTGGCTTTGGTTTTGCTGTGTGCGTGGCTTCGGGTTTAGGGTTAACTTCCCCCCCCCCCCCCCCCCCCCCCCCCGGTGTATGGTGCGGGGTTTAGGGTTTCCAAAAAATGGGGCTTCCTTTCCCATGATGTGTTTTATGGCATTTGGGCGTACATTTTGGGGTCATTCGGTGCATATTTTGGAGACAGGTAGGCCAGGTAGGCGCAACACCTCGGAGCGCCCGTAACATCAAGACCTTGTTTCAGGGACTGAATTAGGTGCTGTCGCGTCACGTCTGAACAGACTTTGACGGCGAGGAACAGAGGTCCCCCATATGGGTCCTTCTCGTTAACCCTACAACTCTAAACTTTGAACGCAAGCAGGGTTTAGGGTTTAGGGTTCAGGGTTCAGGGTTTAGGGTTTAAGCTTTAGGGTTTAGGGTTTAGGGTTTAGGGTTTATGGAGCGCCTCATCGAACTCGCCGGCCACTGCCGCATGACTAGGCTGTCGGCTGTGCCGTGCGTCCTTCTGCAAAACGGCATGCATTGCCATTTTGCAATTGGTCATCTGTATTATTCTTTCCAATTTTCTTACCTGTTTTGTTCTGCGAGTTTTCTCCTCGCGGCTGCCGACCCAGCATGCCTTTAGTATCGGACTCAGGTCGCCGAAATGCGAGTGCTCGACCAGCGGGCAACTGTCGCGGAACATTGCCTGGAGGTGCGGCACCAGGCGATACCACTTGAGCACCTCCAGGCCCTCTTCGCCCAGCAAACGCTACGCGCGACGCACTGCGCTACCTGAACCCAGAGGCCAAAACCGTAAAACCGTAAAACCCTAAAACCCTAGAACCCTAAAACCCTAGAACCCTAAAACCCTAAAACTTCCCTAAAACTTCCTAAACCTTCCCTAAAATCCTAAAACCCTAAAACCCTAAAACCCTAAAACCCTAAAACCCTAAACCCTAAAACCGAACACCCATAAACCCTAAAACCCTAAAACCCGAAAACCCTGAAACCCTAAAACCCTAAAACCCTAAAACCGCAATCCATAAAACCCTAAAACACTAACCGCTAAACCCCAAAACAACCAAAGCCCCAAAACCCAAAACCCTTCAACCCTCAAATCCTAAGACCCTAAACCCTAAAGCCCTAAAACCTTAACACGCTGAACCCTAAAACCCTGAACCCTCAAACCTAACACCCTCAACCCTACACCCCAAGAGCCTAAAACCCGAAAACCCTAAACCGTACACCACACCTTAAAGATCCATGTACCTGAATAGGGAATACTTGGGCCTACTATTTAGGGACTTGAGGGCCCAAGTCCATCATCATGTACCCTAAAACCCTAAACCCTAAGACCCTGAAACCCTAAAACCATATACCCTAAAACCGTAAACCCTAAAACCCTAAAACCCTAAGACCCTGAAACCCTAAAACCCTAAAGCCCTAAAGCCCTAAAACCCTAAAACCCTAAACCCTAAAACCCTAAAACCCCAAACCCCAAAACCCTACATCCCTAAAACCCTAGAACCCTAAAACCCGAAAACCCTAAAACCCAGAACCCTAAACCCTAAAACCCTAAAACCCTAAAACCCTAAACCCTAAACCCCAAAACCCAGAACCCTAAACCCCCAAACCCTAAACCCCCAAGCCCTAAAACCCTAAACCCTAAAACCCTAAACCCTAAACCCTAAAACCCTAAAACCCTAAACCCTAAACCCTAAACCCTAAACCCTAAACCCTAAGCCCTAAGCCCTAACCCTAAACCCTAAATCTTACACCACAGTTTGGGTGTTTCTTCCGGTGCCTCCGGCGACCTGACTTGGGAGCCGCCATGCGCGGGCCGCCATCTACGCGGAGACTCCAAAGACCCGCCCGCATTTCGTACATGGAAACAGGGGGGGTTTAGGGTTTAGGGTGTAGGGTTTAGGTTTAGGGTGTAGGGTTTAGGTTTTAGGGTGTAGGGTTTAGGGTTTAGGGTGTAGGTTTAGGGTGTAGGGTTAGGGTGTAGGGTTTAGGGTTTGGAGGGCCGTTGAAAGATTCCTTTGAAGAATCCTCAGAATCCTCGCAAACATCGGGTATTGGAGTTTGTAGGTGGGGGTTGCTTGGCTGTACCCTTTCAGATGCTCTGAGAAGTTACATCAAGGCAGCCTTACATGCCTCGGGCCCGATGGATGCAGGAACCTAGTAGCTTGAGCTGAAACGCTGCTCTAGGGTTTCAGGTTCAGCCTTTGGGGGCCCTAAACCCTAAACCCTAACCCTAAACCCTAAACCCTAAACCCTAAACCCTAAACCCTAAACCCTAAACCTTCGGGTTCGGGAGTTTCGGGTTGAGGGCTTCAGGGCGCCAGCATTGCGGAACCTGGAGGGCTCGGCTGGCACCTTGAGTCCAGCCGTACTCTGAACGGCAAGCCTTGAGTAGATGACAGGGTTTAGGTTTTAGGGTTTAGGGTTTAGGGTTTGGGGTTGGGTTCGGCCGGTCCACACTAACAGTCAAATAACGCCGTGGCCTTATAACACACAGGCCAAAAATAGCACCAGGAATCCCAGTCAATTTTAGCATTTACCGGGTGCTTCTTTTTGTGGGTCTGCTGGTGGTGACTGTTAGTCACATAGCAGCAGAAATAGCACCAGAAATAGCACCAGAAATAGCACAAACAATAGCACAAAAAATAGCACCAGAAATAGCGCCAGGAAAAGCACAAAAAATAGCACCAGAAATAGCACAAACAATAGCACCAGAAATAGCACCAGGAATCCCAGTCAATTTTAGCAGCTTAGCATTTACCGGGTGCTGTTTTTTGTGGGTCTGCTGATGGTGATTGTTAGTCACATAGCACCAGCAACAGCACCAGAAATAGCACCAGAAATAGCACAAACAATAGCACAAAAAATAGCACCAGAAATAGCACAAACAATAGCACACAAAATAGCACCAGAAATAGCACCAGGAATAGCACAAAAAAATGCACCAGAAATAGCACCAGAAATAGCACCAGGAATAGCAGGAATCTCAGTCAGTTTTTTGGCATTTACCGGGTGCTTTTATTTGTGGGTCTGCTGGTGGTGACTGTTAGTGTGGACCGGCCGAACCCAAGTTTGGGGTTTAGGGTTTCGTGGGTTTCCGAAAATTTGGGGTACCCTTTTAAGGGGGGGGGGGGGGTTCCTATAGTAAGGAGTATGGAATTTTGGGGTATATTCAGGGTAGGAATGCGCATTTGATCACTTTTGAGATTGGAGCCTGGCTCGCGTCCTTTTTGCCTGGCCACCTCGCTTGAACGTACCAGCTGTTGTGCTACGAAAATCAGCACATTCTCAGATGGTTTCGCCATCAGACTGTACAATTTCATCATCTTCTCCCTGGAAGGGGTGAACCTCCAAAAGCACTGAAGCGACCCCGAAACTCGTCGTCCTGTAAGAGTGAGCGCCGCCTATGCTGTGCCTCGTGCTCACGCCTGGCTTCGCACTGACGCTGTTCGTCGCGCTCCTGCCAAGCGCGGCGCTCGCACCGCGCGCTGCGCTCCCGCCAAGCCTCTTGTGCAACCTGTAAACGCTCTCGAACACGAGCGTCCATCTCGCGCTGAACGTTCCGGTCCTCCCGCTGGCTCTCTTTTGTTGGTGCTTTGTGACCTCGTGCTTGAAGCTGCGGGGTGGTCGTCGCGGTGGCTTCCGGGGACTTCTGATGCACCTTGATCTCACCCTCTCCACGATCCTTCTTCTGCTGCTTCTTCCTCCTCTTCGGGGCTTCGGGCTCGGGCGGGTCGCGCGCCTCAGATGGGCGAGCCCGTTTCCTCTTCTGATCTTCGGGCTTCGGCGGATCCGGAGCCCTCTCAAAGGGTCTCTTCAAGTAGCGGCCAAATACAAAAACCCATGGACAGTTTCCAGTAACCTGCACGGTTTCAGTCGCAAGCATCGCACATGGCCGGGCAACAAATTTTGAGTCACCTTCTGGGCGATAACCTGCCTAAACATTCCGGAGCATTCCCGAGCTTGTGGAGCACTGCTGGAGATTGAAGTCTGCATTAACATACTCAGATGTTAATCCCCTAAGCCCTTAACCTTAAACCCTAAACCTTAGGCCCTATAAACCCTCAACCATATACGAGAATGCAGAGATTGCCCTTGCTCTTCAGCACTGTCTGCACCTGGACTCTCAAGCCATGCAACTGCAACTCACCGGCCAACCTTGACCTTTGCTTTCGTACTTGGAGGTTCATGGTACTTATTAACCCAATTGTAACTGTACTTATAACTGTACTTGCCACCTGGTTAGGGCACTTAAGGGGCTAAAACGTCGGTTACAAGTAAAGTTCCAATAATTGGATAAGAAGTACCCTGAACCTCCAAGTAGTTGTGAGGGTCTTTGGGCCTTTAGGGGGGTCATCTTCCGCAACTACTTGGAGGCTCATGGTACTTATCAACCAATTATGACTGTACGTTTCACTGTACTTATAACAGGGCACTTAAGGGGCTTCTAAGTGGGTAAATAAGTACCATGAACCTCCAAGTATAGAAGCTCCGTAGCACTGGACTCCTGTCACTTGGAGAGCGACCTCCGAAGCCCTTGGCATGTTTCCCCCCTTCTACTAGCAGTCCTTAATAGGGATTTTTGTACCCCCCCCCCTTTAATCATCCCTCTTTAAGACTGTTAGTATAAGGGGGCAGATCCCAAGGCTCGTCTCTACAACACAACTCTTTCAACAACATGCGCGCAGAGAGAGAAAGACACTTTTACACGTGGAGGTCGCAACAAAATGCGCACACACACACTTTTACAGTTTTACACGTAGAGGTCTAGCTGAACTCAAGGGCAGCCATTCTTCTTCCTCTGTGCGAGACTGGACTTGGTAATCCTTGCAGGTCTTGCCTGATGGGTCTCGCATACACGGCGTTTCCCCTCAGTCATAAATATAGGCTTACACGAGCCTTGAGCACAGAGCCGCGACTGAGTTGCACTCTCACCGAAACCCTTTGAGAGCGTGATCTGCGGCTTCTGCTTCACTCACTCTAGCTTGGTAGCCCGGTAACCATGCTTTAATAAGGGCACTTTTTCTTGGGGTTGGTTACTTTATAAGGGAACCTTGAACCAAAAAAAGGGGAAAGAAGGTTTCCACTGGGCTACCAAGCTAGCAATGAAGATCGATCCTCGCACCGGTCGTCGTGCTCCTTCGGTCATCGCGATGCTCAGCCGGCGACCAGCGAACTGCAGCAAGTGGTGGTCTGCCATGCGGGCGAAAGAGACATCGCTCGCGATTCAGCCGTGAAGTTGCCACCGGGGCCGCATCAGTCGAACGTTCTGCCGGAAGCTGTGCCGTGCGGAGGCTTTCACTGGTTCGGGAGCGACGATCCAATGGCTTACCTTGGGCTGGGTTGCCAGAGTCACTTCACTATGGAAAGCCCCACATACCCATACGTACTCATGCGTGCACATGTGTACACATGGCTGCACATGCCTACACACAGCGCCCGCCATGAGAACGAGCAGGCAGTATGAGAGGCGATGTTATGCTGCACTCTATTCCGCAGGATACGCACATGACATCCATCGAAGATCCCTGCAGTAGATAGGGGCATCGAGAAACAGCCTGGGCAAGGACATCTGGGGTGTGAAGTCATGGAAATCTCTCATGGCACCGTCTCTGTCGTGCTCTCCCACGTGCGATGAACCTCGTTCACCTCCTTATTCAAACCCTATTCACCCCCGAAACTTCACAACACCACATCAGCCCTGAGACCAGAGTCCTAGAGTACGTTATCGTACCCTTGAAAATCTGTTCGTAAGAAGCGGGCCAGACCCTCAAGCAGGCTAGGAGCTCTATTGCCCTCAACCTTACGGAAACTAAGCTGCTCGTACTAAACGCGAAAACCCCAACCCTGATTGACCTTAAAGCGCCCTGGGCTGACCCTGTATCTGGCCCTCAGCCTGCGCTAAACCCCAAACCCTAAACCCTCAAACCCCTAAACCCTAAACCCAAAACCCTAAACCCTAAACCCCACAGCGGTTTCGTAGAGGCCAGGTGACAGGAAGCTGTCGGCCACGCGCTTCGCGAACTCGAAGGCAGCCCAACCGATGCTCACCGCCTGCTTGGAGGTTTAACGCTTAGGGTTTAGGGTTTAGGGTTTTGCTTTTGGGGTTTGGGGTTAGGGGTTAGGGTGTTTAGGGTTTGGGGTATAACTGTACTTATAACTGTACTTCTGACCCTACTAGGGCACCTAAGGGGCATATAAGTGGGTTAGATAATTGGTTCCAAAGTACCATGAACCTCCAAGTGGTGGTCTCTAGGAGCTCAGAGCACCGGGGGTTTAGGGTTTAGGGTTTAGGGTTTAGGGTTTAGGGTTTAGGGTTTAGGGTTTAGAGGGAGCCTTCGTCTGGGGGATCTTTGGCCACGGTCTGGTTTGGGGCTGTGAGGTTGATCCTTCATAGATCTAGCTGAGGAGAACCCTAAACCCTAAAGCCTAAACCCTAAACAATTCCGAATGAGCGCTTGCCAGCACTGTGGAACTGCGAAGGGGAACCCCGAAATTATGGGTACCTTATTCGAGGTCCTTGTTGCCCAAAACCCTAAACCCTTATTACAAGGGAATCCCACAATGTAGCATCTACATGGAGGTCCCCGTTTTCGTAAACCCCCATATGTATTTACATCGATGATCTATGTACATACACTATTGTACAAGCCCTAGGCCCTAGAAACCGTAGTTAGCGCGGACAGGCCCAGCACAGTGTCCCTCCAGAGTGTCCCCTCCATGGGTGTCCCCTACCCCGACAAACCACGGCCCTCGCCAGGAGCCTCTTTGTCGCTTCGACAGCCACCCTTAAAACCCTAAACCCTAAAACCCCCCAAAAAAACGAAAAAAAACCCAAAAACCAAAAAAAAACAAAACCCTAAGTCCAAGAAAACCAAGCCGGTTCCAACGCTAGACCCTACCTTGGGGATGACACGAACCCTGAAGGGTAGAACGTCCGTATAATATAGAGGCCTTCAGAATTGGAATAGGGTTTTGGGGGGTTATGACAGTATAAAGTATATAGGGACCATAAGGGAACACTAGCAGTAATTCTTCTGAACCCTATACGACCTTTAGAGGGATAAAGAAATCGCAGTGTACGGACGATGCAAATTCTAGGGGTCATCTAGTCCCCAACACAAACCGCTCGAGCGAGCGGCGGGAATGGTCTTGAACAGCGCCGGCGTGAGGCCCCGGTAAAGCCCTCAGTGCCGGGATAAGGTTGGTTTAGGATTTAGGGTTTAGGGTTTAGGGTTTAGGGTTTAGGGTTTAGGGTTTAGGGTTTAGGGTTTAGGGTTTAGGGTTTAGGGTTTAGGGCCAGTTTAGGGTTTAGGGTTTGGAGTTTGGGGTCTGGGGTTTGGGGTTTGGGGTTTGGGGGTTGGGGTTTGGGGTTTGGGGGTTGGGGTTTGGGGTTGAGGGTTAGGGTTTTAGGTTTAGGGTCTTAAAGGGTTAGGGACATCCTGCATCCGGGCTAACGTTGAATGGGTTAAGGGTCGGCTCGGCTCATCCCGCTTCGGGGCTGTTTTACTTGTTTGAGATTTATATGGACACCCTAAACCCCCTAGGGCTCCAAGTATACAACTAGTGCCTACATTGGGGCCTAAAGTCTGTAAATCATGCCTGCTTTGGGCTATTTAGAGCCCTTGGGGCCCTAAACCCTCCTAAAGCCCGCAAAAGCACGCAAAAGCCCTCGCAGCGGCCTGCCGGGCCGCTGTTCACCCAAATCTTCCGGATGCAGTCCTGGGTCTTTTGGGAGGGGAGGGGGAGGGGAGGGGGGGGGTGGAGGGGGAGGTTGAGACCCAGCGGAGGTTGGAGGATTCAACCCTAAACCCTAAACCCTAAACCCTAAATCCTAAACCCTAAACCCTTTAGCCTAAACCCTGCACCCTATCCCCGCCATAAACCTTTGGGGCTCAAGAGTGCGTTGAGAGGCGCTAGAGGGCACTGAAACCAAATAGTTCCCATGCTACCGCCCTCTACACTCTGCACTAGCCCCCGCCTAGGTGCCCCATAATTAAGGTTATCTAGGGATAATTAAGCCTAACTGGGGGGGGGGGGGGGTAAACTAAACCCTAAACCACAAGCCTAAACCCTAAACCTTTGAGATGCGCGTTTGGGTTTTAGCTTCAGGGTAGTAAGCTTGGGAGTCGTGAGTTTTCAGGGCAACGTCCTCTCCCACACCCCGTCTTGGAAAATCCAAACCTCTGTCCAGCCAGGCATCCACCACGCCTGAAATGACACGGAGAAGGGTCGGGCTTCGGGGCTAAGTTGGCCGCCCCCCCCCCCCCACCTGATAACGGTTTAAGGGATCCTGTTCCCACAATTCACTGGCTGGCTCTTCACAGGCAATTTGGGAAATGGGTAGCTTATATCCGCAAATATTATCTTTGAATTCACGAAATCTCTAAAAGCCCCAATTCCCGAATTCACTCGAAGAACGAGTGCAGAGATAGGAGACGAGGAGCCTTTATACCTTGGCGGCCGTCCTGGCATGCCCTGCACGATGAGTCGAGTCCTGACGACCGTCAGCGGATACCTGGCAGGCGAGGTCACCGATTGGCCCTGAAGCCTAACCTCCTTAACAACACGCATATATACATAATATATATATATATATGCTCACCCCCCCCCTCGACAGACCCCGGAAGCAAAAAAAGGGCTGAGGGCGCGACGGACAGCATAGCTGCACACAGTAGCCAGACACGTTAACACACAATAGAGCATATTTTTTTCGATTGGTACGGCTTTGTGTTCGCAATGAAAGATGCAGACAGATGTGAGAAGGACGCATGCTGTAAGGACCTGAACAATTTGCTCGACATCGTGGATTGCTATTAATTTTAATAAGATTGCTCTTAGTTTTACTTGGGTTCCTATTAAGTTTATTAGGATTCATAGGCTTCGTATGAGTTCAATAGGAATCCTATTTAAATCAATAGGAACCCCATTAAAATGAATGAGAACCCTATTGAAATTAAGACGAGTCTTTTTTGAAAACTTAGTAAGAATCCTAGTACAATTAATAAGAACCTGGTTGAAATACGTAGAAGCTCCTACTAAAATTTCTTGGCGTCCTAAATTCAGAGGAACAAAGGAAGGCCATTCAAATGAATGGGAACACTCGAGGAATTTGCTCGATTTTTGGATTTTGAGGCTCCCGCTCGAGTTTCCAAAAATCCAAACCTTGGGGTGGGTTTTTTTGGATTTTTGAATTTTGGAAACTCGAGGAATTTGCTCGTTTTTTGGATTTTGAGGCTCCCGCTCGAGTTTCCAAAAATCCAAACCTTGGGGTGGGTTTTTTTGGATTTTTGGAATTTTGGAAACTCGAGGAATTTGCTCGATTTTTGGATTTTGAGGCTCCCGCTCGAGTTTCCAAAAACCCAAACCTTGGGGTGGGTTTTTTTGGATTTTTGAATTTTGGAAACTCGAGGAATTTGCTCGATTTTTGGATTTTGAGGCTCCCGCTCGAGTTTCCAAAAATCCAAACCTTGGGGTGGTTTTTTTTTGGATTTTTGGAATTTTGGAAACTCGAGGAATTTGCTCGATTGTTGCATGTTGAGGCTCCCGCTCGAGTTTCCAAAAATCCAAACCTTGGGGTGGATTTTTTTGGAATTTTGGATTTTTGGAAACTCGAGGAATTTGCTCGGTTTTAGGATTTTGAGGCTCCCGCTCGAGTTTCCAAAAAGCGGAACCCTGGGTTGGATTTTTTGGATTTTTGGAAACTCGAGGAATTTTGGAGTGGTGCTTTTCCCCCCGCCCCCTTCCTGAACAGACCGGAAATATACTTCCGGGGTCTGTCGAGGGGGGGGGTGACCATATATATATATATATATATATAGATATATACATATATGTATAAATACATATATAAATAGATAAAGAAATAGACAAACAAGAATAAATGACTCAAAAAAAATATGTATACATACACACCCCCTGGTTAAACCTCGAACGACTGCGCTTGCTTTGGGTGCAGCATGCTCTAGGCTCGGCTTTCTCTGACTACACTGCTCCAGAAGGCAGATCGCGCCGAGCTCACAGAACCAAAGCTGCAGACCTGTAGTTAGGTTTGGGGTTCAGGGTTCAGGGCTCAGGGCTCAGGGCTCAGGGCTCAGGGTTTAGGGTTTAGGGTTTAGGGTTTAGGGTTTAGGGCTTGTTGCATGCCACCGCTTGATGATTGCTGACCAGCCACGCCACCACGGCCCCAGAAGTAGCAGATGCCGCGCCGAAGCACAATGCCAGCCTAGGGTTTAGGGTTTAGGGTTTAGGGTTTAGGGTTTAGGGTTTAGGGTTTAGGGTTTAGGGTTTAGGGTTTAGGGTTTAGGGTTTAGGGTTTAGGGTTTAGGGTTCAGGGTTTAGGGTTTATAAGGGTTAAGGGTTAAGGGTTAAGGGTTTAGGGTTTAGGGTTCAGGGTCTCGGGTTGACAATTGAGCTTCTGACAAAATCCAAGCAGGCAGTTTCGGTGACGACATACTTTGGAAAAATAGAACTGTACCTTACATCATGAGGGTCCGTGTCTAAATTCTGTACTACGATGTGGGCCTTCCTGTTTCTTAAGAATCCAAATTAAAGCTGCCGCGCACCCTGCTGGGACTCCTTCTTGCCTGCTGCTAGCTTCGGACTCGGTTCAGGCATAGCAGGGGCGTGCTTCGATCCCTCCCTGAAGGGGGGGGGGGGGGGGGGGGGGGGGGTTGGGCCTTTAGAGGACGAGTCAGTCCGCATGACTTGGCCTAAACATATTCCTGGCACAAGAAAAGCGGAATTCTTGCAGGATGAACGAGGTGTTTGCAAGCCAGCCTAAAAAGTAGGAGGTAGGATTTGAGGGTCCCTTGGGGATATAGACCCTCTCATTCCAGAAGCTTGAGAAGGGGTCCCCTTGGAATCCCACCTAGGAAAATGCCAAGTTACTCAAACCCACCTCAAGCCCAAAACTTAAGCCCAAACTCGGACTCTTGAGTCCACGCCCCAACCGTACCTACTCCTATAAACCTCGGTTGGCAAGAAACAACCTGCGGCTTTAGGAACCCTAAACCCTAAACCCTAAACCCTAAACCCTAAACCCTAAACCCTAAGCCCTAAGCCCTGAACCCTACTACCAAGGTTGCCTGCACACGACCTGGGCAAAAACCCTAAACCAACTGGGCGCCCCGACGCCAGCGGCATGGCCCGGCGTTCTCCGCTTCGAGGCTGCTCGTAGTTGACCTGCCATTGTGGCTTTGGCTTAGGGTTTAGGGTGTAGGGTTTAGGCTTTATGGTTTCGGTGTTTCGGGCCTCTGCGCGTCAACACCCCAACTACCCGAAATGTGAGGGTCTCAGGCTTAGGGCTTTGCGGGGCCCCAACCCCACTTGTAGTTGCTTGTGTTGTGGCAACCACACCACCCCCCCCCCCCCCCCCCCCCCCCCCCCCTCCCCCAAACAAACGTGTGGGAAAGAGTCTTGAGACCTTCAGGGTGTTGTAGACGGCGAGGTCGATGCCGGCTGCAGGGACCCCCCCCCCCCGCCCGGCCCCCTCCCCCAAACAAACGTGTGGGAAAGAGTCTTGAGACCTTCAGGGTGTTGTAGACGGCGAGGTCGATGCCGGCTGCAGGGACGATGGCAAGTAAGGCCGACCCGATTCCCTGCCAATTAAGAGGAGGGGCTTCCGAGTGTTGGGGTCCGGCGGTTGAGAGGTTTAAGGATTTATTTTCCCCTCCCCGTTATACTAAACAGCCCTTAATAGGGATTATAATAGTAGGGGGTATTTTTAATCCTTTTAAGGACTGTTAGTATATGGGGGAACATCCCAAGATTTAGGCTTTCCCTGAGTTGATAAGGGTTGAGGTAGCCCAGCAACCATATTATAATAAGGGCACCCTTTTTGGGGTTAGGGAAAAGGGCACCACTGGACTACCAAAGGAAAGGCCTAAACCCTAAACCCTAAACCCTAAACCATAAGGGTTTCTCAGGGATTTCAGGGTGTCGTGGCTTGGCGGTTGAGTGGTTTACGGGGGGGTGGGTGATGGGGCAGCTGGGAGCTTCAGGTGTGTCTCATGGGATCTGTTTAGGGTTTAGGGTCTAGGGTTTAGAGTTTAGGGTTTAGAGTTTAGGGTTAGGGCCAGGGTTTAGGGTTTAGGGTTGGGGTTTAGGGTTTAGGGTGTAAGGTTTAGGGTTTAGGGTTTAGGGTCCAGGGTTTAGGGTCCAGAGTTTAGGGTTTTAGGGTTCAGAGATTAAGGTATCGTATATTAGCAAGGCCTCGGCGGAATTCTGGAAAGACCCTAAGCTTCAGGAGACGCCTCTACACCTGGAGGTTGGGATGGTCCCCCTTGTACTAACAGTCCTGAATAGGGACTATAGCAACCCCTCCCGTGTTAATCTCTATTAAGGACTGCTAGCATATTTGGGAACATCCCAACCTGGAGGTTTCTGTAGAGCTGGGTCTTGTTTGGGTGCTACGGAGCCTCAGATTAGGACACCCGAAAAAAGGGTCATATTCTTGAGAGAGCTTCCCACTTGCCAAGAAAAACACAAGCCTTGGTTCGGGTGTAGGGTTTAGTTTTTAGGGCGGGAACTACAGACAGTAGACTGTGTAAAAAAGCCCCCAGCCCTAGCCCTGTCTAACCATGAACCCTTTCAAACCCCAGATAGATAGATAGATATGTATATATAAATTTAAATATAACTATAACTATGAATATAAATATAATAAATAAATAAATATTAATATACATATATATATATATTTATTTATTAAGGTTTTCAAAGAACTCGTATACAAAGCCCAATAAATAACCCTAAGCCATATGTATACATATATATATATATATGTATATACACACTATATACATAGTTCATATAAATAAGTGAAAATAAACAAGTAAAAAATACAAAAATAGAAATACATTAATAAGTAAGTATAACAACTCTCCGCAGCTCGTAGTCCCCTGCCTTGTACAGGGCTCGGAAGCCTTCCAGCGCCACCGTGCGCTGGATGCAGTCGAGGATGCCGGAGTACGTGCCTTTGAAACGGAGGGTTTAGGGTTTAGGGTTTAGGGTTTAGGGTTTAGGGTTTAGGGTTTAGGGTTTAGGTTTTAGGGTTTAGGGTTTAGGGTTTAGGGTTTAGGGTTTGGAGCGGTGGAAGGGGGGGAGAGAGGAGCAGAGTGAAGGATTTGAGGTTCTGCTGGCCTTTTTGCTTCACAGACCCTAAGGTGTTGAAGGTTCAGGGCTTTCGCATGCTCAGGATGGGGGGAGGGGGGGGGGGCGCTTCGCAGTTTGCGGAGCCAAAGCCTAAGAGACCTCGGACCCTAAACCCTAAACCCTAAACCCTAAACCCTATAACTCCGAGGATACTCGGGAAGCTTTCACTACCCCCACCCGTGAACCTCCAGAGTTAATACCCTAAACCTTGAATCCTAACATGAGCCCCGAAAAAATCTGAACCCCTAACACCCTGAACCCAAAAGTCCGGGGTTCTCTGGGTTCTCTTACGACCCCCCCTTCTATGCTACCCCCCCCCCCCCCTAGGTTTCCCCTATATTTAAGGTAGTAGGGGAAACCGATGAAACGCCACCCAAAATCATAAACCCTAAACCCCAAACCCTAAACCCTAAACTGATGTTGCAAACCTCGGCACCCGCGGGGGCAGCTGCCAGCCGAGTTTTCGTTACCTGCCAGCAAGGTTTAGAGGGTTTAGAGGGTATGGCTAGGGTGTTAGGGCGTTCTTAAACAAAGTATACGATTTTCTGTAATAGATACATGGACCCTCAGGGCTGAGCTTTCGTACAGCCTTGCCGGCGAGATGCATCCAGCGGATAAACGACTGCCTGGGAGATGCAGCCAGCCACCGAGCCAGCCACGAGCCGCTCGGACACGGGCAGCAAAGTCTCCGTGTGGGCAACGGCTGATTTCACCTCGCGGGCTTTCTTTACCTAAGGGTCCATTTAGGGTTGCGGGTTTAGGGTTTCGGGTTTAGGGTCCATGTACCTAAGTAGGGAATACCTGGGCCTTAAAGTACCTCCGATGTAGGGACTTTATAGGGCCCAAGTACACAGTCATGATGTACATGGACCCTTCGGCTTTGGGAATGTGACAAAAGAGGCCAATCCTAGATGAACATCGTCCATGGACCTCATTGTCATAATTACATACTTGGGCCCTCAAGTCCCTAAACAGGAGGTACGCTGAGGCCCACGTACTCCCTATTTAGGTACATGGACCCTTAGGGTATCCCCATCACCCTAAACTAAAGCCTTAAAGTTTCAAAAGCTATGACAGCTTCATGCAGCCAACTTCTTGGGCCTGAGGCCTCTAAACCCTAAACCCTAAACCCTAAACCCCAAACCTAAACCCTAAACCCCCACCTTGTCATAGACCAAAAACTTCACGGCCGACTCGGGCATCACCTTCAGCACGTTCGCCCCGTTCCCCTGCCAAAATGCTCCAGGGCCGCCGTCGCGCCTGGACTGACTCTGGTTTGGGGTGTTTAGGGTTTAGGGGATTTGGGGTTTAGGGTTTAGGGTTTAGGGCTTAGGCTGTTTAGGGTTTAGGGTTTGGGGTGATTTAGGGGATTTGGGGGTTTAGGGCATTTAAGGTTTAGGGAATGTGGGGTACGTAGTTATTTCGGCTGTTTAGGGCAGGATATTTAGGGTATTTCGCTGTATGCCAAGGCCTCCACATGTCCCATGGTAGGTCGTACTACTTATGGCCTCATGGAGCCAAAAGTAGGACCCGAGGTGGGGGCGTTTACGGTGCTCTAAACCCCGATTAACACTTCGGGGTGGCAGAACGTTTTGCCTTTGCTGCCACCTTACCCGAAGGGTCCATGCACCTCCTTAGTGTTTAGGGTTTAGGGTTTAAGGTTATAAACTCGATAAGCCTCATATAGAGCAATGGCCTTTCCCTTCTTAACGTTAGGCGCAGGGCAACCCCAAACCCGAAACCCGAAACCCGAAATCCTAAACCTACACCCTACCACCCTGAAACCTGCAAAGCCACCATGTGAACCAAAACCGTAAGCACCAAGAACAAAAACCCGGAACCCGAAGCCTGCAACCTAAGCCCTAAAACCTGAACTGTAAACCCTAAACCCTAAACCCTAAACCCTAAACCCTAAACCCTAAACCCTAAACCCTAAACCCTAAACCCTAAACCCTAAACCCTAAACCCTAAACCCTAAACCCTAAACCCTAAACCCTAAACCCTAAACCCTTACCCTAAACCCTAAACCCTAAACCCTAAACCCTAAACCCTAAACCCTAAACCCTAAACCCTAAACCCTAAACCCTAAACCCTAAACCCTAAACCCTAACCCTAAACACTAAACCCTAAACCCTAAACCCTAAACCCTAAACCCTAAACACCCAGGCGTGGCGCAGGATGGCGCGGGCGGCCGCCCTGAGCTTGGGCGACCGGGCGTCCCAGCGATGTCCAGGGCGGTGGCTTCCGATCTTCGGCGCGTTGCCGGCCTCTGCGGAATGCCCCTAAACCCTAAACCCTAAACCCTACACCCTAAGCCCCAAGCCCTAAGCCCTGAGCCCTGATGAGCCCTAAGCCCGAACCCTAAGCCCTAAACCCTGAACCCTAAGCCCCTAAACCCTGAGCCCTAAGCCCGAAGCCCTGGAGTTTAGGGTCGCGCTGAAAGCAGGAGGTTTGGAGGAATGTTGAGACTCCCGACCTCGGCCTTCCAGAACACAAACGCCCACCCTTAACCCCCCCTCCCCCACGTAGCTCCGACAAGGCTTAGGGTTTAGGGTTTAGGGTTTAGGGTTTAGGGTTTAGGGTTTAGGGTTTAGGGTTTAGGGTTTAGGGTTTAGGGTTTAGGGTTTAGGGTTTAGGGTTTAGGGTTTAGCTGGAATCGCAGGGATTAGGGCTCAGGGTGTTGGAGGAGCAAGACTTAAATTAGTAAGCAGAGCCACAGTAGGGCTTCAAGCAGCGTCATAGGGGTCCTCCGACTAGGAGCCTTACTTAACCTACAGGCTATACACCCCTAAACCTCTAAACCCCCAAACCCCTTAACCCCTAAACCCCCAAACCCCTAAACCCCTAAACCCCTAAACCCCTAAACCCCTAAACCCAAACCCCCAAACCCCTTAACCCCTAAACCCCTAAACCCCAAACCCTTAACCCTCAAACCCTAAACCCTCAACACTTAAGAGCCGAACATCCAACCATCCCCGCCCTAAACCCTAAACCCTAAACCCTAAACCCTAAACCCTAAACCCTCAGGCGCTCTGGCCTGCATCATGATCTTGATGCGGTCCTTTCTTGGCACATGGGTTTATAGGGTATAGGGTATAGGGTATAGGGTGTAGGGTATAGGGTATAGGGTGTAGGGTATAGGGTTTAGGGCTGAGGGTTTAAACCCTAAACCCTAAACCCCAAACCCCAAACCCAACCCCAAACCCTAAACCCTCAACCCTAAACCCTCAACCCTAAACCCTAAACCCCAAACCCCACCCTCAACCAACCCTCAACCCTCAACCCTCAACCCTCAACCCTCAACCCTCAACCCTATACCCTAAACCCTAAACTCTTCGGGTTTGAGGGTTTAGGCTGCTGCCAGAGATCCAGAGGGGCTGTCAAGGTGCGAGACATGATCCCAGAGAAGGCGCCAGCACAGAAGATGAGGGCGCCGGTGGAGGAGCTCTTTCCTGGGAGCAGTCCAAAAAACCCTAATCCCTAACCCCTAAACCCGAAACCCTAAACCCTAAACCCTAAACCCTAAACCCCAAGCCAAGATCCCTACAGCCTAAATTCCACTCGGTTTGAACTTGCCTCCCAATTCTCAGGCCTGAATTTCTTCAAATCTTCGTAGCTGTAGCCCCTAACCCCTTGCCGAACCAGTTAGGGTTCGGGGTTTGGGCTTTAGGGTTTAGGGTTTATAGGCTTTGCGGTACACCCGCCTTGCCAGACACGAGCAGAACGTCAGACTTTCAAGCATACACGCATGCAGATGTGGACACCAGCCTTTCATCCTAAGACTCTGAAACCCCCAAACGTCCTCGTCAAAACCCATACCTTCAGTGCCACAAGCCTTGCTTTTCGTAAAAACTGCCTCTAGTTAAAACAAATAAGTCAAATAAGACACTTGGGCAGCCTACAACAGAAAGGTTGTTGGTTCTTGAGGTCCACCAGAAAAATCTTGCAGACTTCTCAGATTGCGCACCCGCAACATCCTAAACCCTGACATTTTGCGCCCACACTAAAAGCCCAAACCCTGATAGTTAACCCCACCCTAACCACACAAACTAACCCTAATCGCTAACAAACCCTAAACCCTAAACCCTAAACCCTAAACCCTAAACCCTAAACCCTAAAACCCAAAGCAACTGCAAGCCCAAGAGCTTTCAGCCGGCTCAAGGTCGGGTGGATTGAAGGCATCCTCGATTTGAAGGCCTGGGGGGGGGGGGGGGGGGGAGCAGCTTCCTTTCTTGAGGGTTTAGGGTTTAGGGTTTAGGGTTTGGGGTTTGGGGTTTGGGGTTTAGGGTTTAGGGTTTAGGGTGGCAGCTTTCTTTCTTGAGGATTTTGTTGTTTTTTAGTGGGGGATTCGGGTTTGGGGTTTTAGGTGTTCAGAGGATGTAGGACTGAGGGGGTTGACAGGGTTTGTAGGCTTTATAGGGCTTGGGGTTTAGGGGTTTATAGTAAAAGGGTGCAGGGGGTTCGAGTTTAGCGGCTATACCTAAACCCTAAACCCTAAGCCCTAAACCCTAAACCCTAAGCCCTAAGCCCTAAACCCTAGACCCTAAACCCTTGAGGGTGTTGGGGCTTAATTATCGGGTTGAGGAGTGCTAGCACTAGCTTCCCTGGGTAACCTAGGTAGAAGAAGGGTGGCGCTGTTGGGGTTCCTGAAAGCTTACAATGCTGACGGGTTTAGGGTTGAGGGCTTCGGGTTTGGGGTTTAGGGTTTAGGGCTAGGGTTCAGACCCCCAAACCTGCTTATTTTTCGTAGGTTACCTGAGAACCCTATAAGGGGTTTCAGAGCAACAGCCTACAAAGAAGCAGGTTTGGGGTTCTTCAGGTAGGGTTTGGGGCCCTTGGTAGTTTCAGGACTCTTCCGGGTGGCTTGATGGGAATTTGAGGCTAGACAAGAGTAGCCTAGGAACACAAAGGGTGCCTTTTGGGGTTATAAGGGGTTATAAGGGGTTATAAGGGACCCTACCCTAAACCCTAAACCCTAAACCCTAAACCCTAAACCCTAAACCCTGAACGAGGGCTTACTCTGGGTCCACGGAGGTGGGCCTACGTAACGGCTTGGCGTGACTTGTTGCCTTCTGGTCCTGGACCCTCGATAAACTGTAAACTCCAAACCTCTGGACTTTCAACCCTAGACCCTAAACCTTAAACCCTAAACCTTAAACCCCAAGCCTGAAACCCCAACCCGAAACCCTACACCCTAAACCCTAGCCCTAAACCCTAAACCCTAAACCCTAAACCCCCTAAAGCCCCCAAACCCTCAAAACCCCAAACAGATGCCTCCCAAGGCTTTGGCAAGCTCTGCGCTGGTGGTGACCCAGTTGGCAGCACGAATCTGACCGTTCAAGCGCTTGTCGAACTTCTTACCTTGCGTGTTAGGGCTGAGAGGTTCAGAGCCCTAGGATGTAGGATTTGCGGTTCAGGGTTTAAGGTTTAGGATTTAGGGGGGGTGGGCGGGGGGGGGGGGGGGGGGGGGGGGGTGGGTTGGGTTTAGAGGCTTGCTAGCCAAGATTGTTTCCGAAAACTGGGGGGGGGTTACCGTTTGTTCCTCTACTCAGGATTCCTGTATTTTGGGCGGAAGAAAAGCGGCAGCCCTATTGTTGGAGGCTGGAAGCAACTGACAAAACCTCGCAGTGTTTTAGGGTCCCACTCCAGCACCATTTTAAACCCCCTAAACCCTAAAACCCTAAATCTAAACCCTAAACCCTAAACCCTAAACCCTAAACCCTATAAACCCGAAACCCTAAACCCTAAACCCTACACCCCAAAAGCCAAATTCCAGTGCCTCACGAGCGGCTGATCTTGTCCAAGGCCTGTGGAAGATGGCATCCATAGGCTGAAAGCTCCCCAAGTTCCCCCCCCCCCCTCCCCCCTCCCCCCCCCCCCCCCCCCCCCCCTGCCCCCCCCCCCCCCCCCCCTCCCCCCCCCCCCCTCCCCCCCCCCCCCCCCCTCCCCCCCCCCCTCCCCCCCCCCCCCCCCCCCCCTCCTCCCCCACCCCCTCCCCCCCCCCTCCCCCCCCCCCCCCCTCCTTCCCCCCCTCCCCCCCCCTCCCCCCCCCCCCCTCCCCCCCCCCCTCCCCCCCTCCCCCCCCTCGCCCCTCCCTCCCCCCCGCCCGATGAGGGTTTCAACTCCAAGCATGCCGCCTCTCCCCCTTCCTGCAGAAAGCCAGACACGAACGAAGAAGCAACGGAAGCCAAAACCAACCCTGAACCCTGAAAACCCTAAACTCCCCTGCTTGGTACGATTTGCCTAGGAAGAAGCACCAGCCAAAACCAAGCCCTGAACCCTAAAAAAAGCCCAAACTCCCCGCTTGGTGCGACTTGCCTGGCGGTTGATGACCGCATACTTCGCGTCACGGCTCAAGGCATCTCCGGCAGAGAGGTTGGCGGAGACTTTGGCGAGCTCCCTGTGACAAAAAGGCTGGAAGCCTCGGGGAATCTAAGGTTTAGAGTGTAGGGTTTAGGGACGTTTAGGATTTAGGGTTGGGTTGAGGGTTGAGGGTTGAGGGTTTAAGGGTCTCAAGCTGCCAGAAGGTGGCATTGAGGCGAAGCACCTGCATTGCCGAACACAAGCGTATCGACAAGTATTTCTGAAACACCAGCCAATGGATTGCTGCTGGCGGTCCTACTCAAGTTGACAAGGCGGCCCCCCCATTGCAGGGTTCAGGGGAGTATAATACATATATATATATATATATTTATTTATTTATTTATTTATATTTATATATGTGTGTATATTGTATACATTATGTGCTATATATAGATTACTATATTGTATTTTATTTTATATTATTTTATATGGCTACAGGGTGTGTGGCTCAGGGTTTAGGGCCTGGGGTGTGGGTTCCCAAACGCCTGTCGTAGAGCTTCTGGAAGTCTTCTTGCGTGCAGCCGGCCCTCGGCTTCTCTGCACGAGGGACAGAGTGAGAGTTTCAGATTGGGGTTTAGGGTTTAGGGTTTAGGGTTTAGGGTTTAGGGTTTAGGGTTTAGGGTTTAGGGTTTAGGGTTTAGGGTCAGAGCGTGTTCCAGGGCCCTACTCAGGGCTTCGGGTGCAAGCCCTGGAGTTCCCAAGCTCTGAAGGCCTTTTTGGGTGCTGGAGTGTAAAGAGACCGCATCCAAAACACTCCCTCGAAGACCTTGGGTTTAGGGTTTAGGGTTTAGGGTTTAGGGTTTAACCAGAACTCTGAACACGAAGCGAGCTTCTCCATAGGATGCATTGTGCTTCTGCGTGCTGGTTTAAGATTCAGGGTGTAGGGCTTGAAGCTAGGATTAAAGCTTTGAGGCTCGGGTTCAGGGGTCATGTGGCTATGTGAAGGTCTCGAACATACAACGTAACAATACCCTAAGCCCCAAACCCTAAACCCTCAGCCCTAAACCCCCAATCCCAAACTCCATACCCTAAACCCCAAACCCTAAACCCTAGCCCTAAACCCTAAACCCTAAACCCTCAAGACAAAATAATTAGAAATTGTATGTGGTATCATCCTGCACTTCCAAAGTTATTCGTCCAAACAGCTGACACGCAGAGCTCAAGCCCGACCAGCCCCCAGGTACCCACCAGCCCCACCAGCCCCACCAGCCCCCCAGCCCAGCCCCAGCCTGCCAACACCCAGCCTGCCAGCCCCCCCAGCCCCTCGGCCGCCCCCAGACCCCAGCCCCCCCACAATAGAAACGAAATTCTATTTCCAAAAAAGAAACCCGGTCAAAACTTTCGTTCAAAACGTTAATGGGACCCAAACCCTATACAATTTCTATCAACCCCTAAACCCCTAAACTTGGGCGCAAGGGGCTTGATGAGCTGCTTCAGCGCATTGTAATCTACGTACTGGCCTTTGATGCAGGGAGGAGAGCTGACTTCGCACTGGCCTCAGTTGCACCGTGAGGAGTTCTTAAAGGTTTAGGGTTAGGGTTTAGGGTTTAGGGTTTAGGGTTCTGGGTTTAAGGGTTTAGGGCTCAGGGTTCATGGAAATGCTCGGAGGCTTAGGGTATCCTAGAACGAACTTCCATGAGGCGTTTTGTCTTTCGGGGGAGGGGGGGGGATTGTTTGTTGCGTTTTGCTGAGAAGTTGTGAGGGGTTTGTGTCCAGAGGTTTGTCGGGTTTTGCCGGGTTTTGTTGTTTCATTGTCATTATGTTGTTTTAATTTGGGGCCTTTTGTCCCTTCTAGGGGTGTGTTGGGGGGAGGGGTGCGGTTCAAGGCAAGAGGTGAGGGGGTACGGGGTCTACAGTGTAGAGGCGAGAGGTGGAGTGGGGAGTGGGGGGAGGGCTGAGCTTTCTTTGTTTTTTGGTCTTCTTGACTCTTTGCTGAATACAACGGTGATGTGTCGAAGCCCTCGAAGAACATGCCAGGTTTGCGGGGCCAGCTCAGAGACATAGATTGGTAAATTCTGAATGATAGCTTGGCAAGCGAAGAGGTTTATTTTTGGGCTTGACAGGCCTTTGGAATTTGTAAGCCCATCGGGCTTGTCTTCGCCTATGCACAAGATCCTAACCCTCAAGCAAACTCTTGGCGTAGACACAAGGGCCCCCCCAGCATGAGCCCTACCCCTTAACATACCCTGTAAGCCAAAAAGCCCACAACTTCAGAACCCGAAGCCCTAAACCCTAAACCCTAAACCCTAAACCCTAAACCCTAAACCCTACTGGGCCTTCCTTCCAAGTGACCGATGTGGGCCACGAGCTCCCTTCCAAACTTCATTGAGCCACAAAGCTACCACTGCAGGAGTGCCGCGACCAGTTTAGGGTTTAGGGTTTAGGGTTTAGGGTTTAGGGTTTAGGGTTTAGGGTTTAGGGTTTAGGATTCTAGGGTTGAGGGTTTAGGGTTTAGGAATTTAGGGTTTCGGGTTTCGGGTTTCGGGTCTATGGCTTCGGACAGGGGGGTTTGCTTGCCAAAGGAGTTGCCAGTGTCTCTGAAGGTTGAAAGCGTTTCTCTATGCCCACTACTCCCTAAGGCTCCCCAAGCTTCCCCAAGCTTCCCTAAGTACCTACCCGCCATGAAGCCCCCTCCCCCAAGCACCCTATAAAGTATGGGCCCTTGGGTTGAAAAGGGTCTATAAGGGGTAACTCCGCTCAACCTTGGCCCAATCCTTTGCCCTGAGGCTCCAAAGCAGCGACTTGGAATTGTAGATAGGGTTCTGTTCTGCGGACTCAATTCTCTAAGGTTTTGGGTTTTGGGTTTAGGGTTTAGGGCTGAAGGCCCAAAAACCTTAGAGTGGGCATCCATATGGGGGTTTCCGAAATTAGGGGGTCCTATTGTTTGGGGACCATATTGGGCGTCCCTTGTGTTGGTAAACCCCCACATGAAACCACCTCCGTGCCCCCTAATACCAATATTTCCCCCCATTATCGTTCTATTGTAGTGTGTGGGGTGTTTCATATTAGGGGGAGGGGACTCAACCTAGCAAAACAGCGTACCTGTGTTTTTTGCTGAAATTAAAGCAACCTAGTTGCCAAGTGGGCATTCTTGGCAAGGGAATATCATGGGTTCCCCTACTGCCCCCCTCTTTACTACCACCCCTAGGTTCCCCGATAATTAAGGCTATAGAGGGGGGTAGTAAGGGAACCCATAAGAATAAAGGTGTTTTTGGGGAAATGTTGCACCGGCTGTTTCGCACTTCCGGAGCCCATTTTTCTGCGCTGCTATAGCCGGATCAGTAGGGTTTAGGGTTTAGGGTTTAGGGTTTAGGGTTTAGGGTTTAGGGTTTAGGAACCCTAAACCTTCTAAACCCTAGTTTTGGCCTCAAGCCACCGAGCAGGAAGCATGAGAGAATGCTTGGCTGACTACGCCCTGCTGCTCGGAACACTCGGCGAGATTTTCGGCTGTATATGACTCAGGACTTTTAGGGCGTAGGGTTTAGGGTTTAGGGCTAGGGTTTAGGGCTGTCTGGCCTTTAGGGTTCAGGGTTCGGGATTTAGGGTCTATAGCGTTTAGGGCCTATAGGGTTTTAGGGTTATAGGGTCATGGGCCATGTTCTTGGCGGAAGGTCTCGGTACCCCCCCCCCCCCCCCCCAAATCTTCAAAAATCTACGAACATTGTTGACGCATGCCGCATCTGGCCTTCCGTCTATCAAAGACGGGGCCTGCACGGACCCCCACGGGCTCAGCTGACAGGCGAGGGGAGCTGGTGATGGCGCAGACCTCGCGTCAGCGTCTTAGGCATCTAAACGCACCGAAAACTCCAAAAAGGCCTCTATGTTCAGTTCGTAATGCCCGAAACTTGGGATGCTCCCCCTTATACTGACAATCCTTAATAGGGATTATAGTACCCCCCCATTATCATCCCTATTCAGGACTGTTAGGATAAGGGGGAACATCCCCACCCTAAACTCAAAACCCTCAACCCATTGCAGGATTGACCAGCGCCTGGCACGAATCTCACGGGACCACCACCAACTACGGGTGAAGAGCATGCTAAGCTAGCAGAGACTCTGGCAAGGGTTTAGGGTTTAGGGTTTTATGTAGCGGTCCAGAAAATACGGCTCGGATGAGCTGGATCCTTGTACAACATCGTGCCACTGCCTGGGAGAAATTCAAGCCCCCCAAATCCGAAAGTCTTACGAGGTTTGGTTTCGGGGTTCAGATGTCATGGACTGAGGGCCGTGGGGCGAAAAGAAAGTGACTGCTTCAACGCGGCCTAGGACTTATAGAGGAACAAGGACATGTACCTTATGCGCTATGCATGTTTACCTTTTTTCAGGCACAGGGGGTTGCTCTAGGTCAGCGCGACAAACCCTAAAATCTATTCCTAGGTTACTCTTGGGTCTAGCTTAGGATCTAGGGTTAAGCCCTAGATCCCTGTTATGGTTCCCGACCTTTGCCATCCTAAGCCCCAAATTTGAGGGCTGAGGGCATATGGCTTAGGGTTTAGGGCTTAACCTCGGGCTTAAAACGGGTACCCTTTTTGCTTATATAAAGGGGTTCATAAGGGAACCTAAACCCCCCAAAAAAGAGAATCAGGGTACTACTGGGCATCCGAGATTAAAGGGGCTTATACGGGGGAACCCAGGGAACCCAAACACCAACAAAAAGGGGAATAAGGGCCTAGTCTGAGTCTAAACACTAAACCCTAAACCCTAAACCCTAAACCTAAACCCTAAACCCTAAACCCTAAACCCTAAACCCTAAACCCTTAAACCCCTGAACCTCTAACCACCCCCGAGACGCTTTTTCAACGTCTGCGGGTCTTGGATCCGGTCCGGCCGACGCCACTGCGCGCATCTTTGCAGCCTCCTAGAATCCAGCGCGTTAACTTGAAGGTTTAGGGTTTAGGGTTTAGGGTTTAGGGTTTAGGGTTTAGGGTTTAGGGTTTAGGGTTTAGGGTAGCTACTAAGTCTCCACCACTGCAAACCGTTAGGCCCTAAAAGCCCCAAAATCCTTGAACTCCTGTGCACAGGGTATCAACTTGTCGAGCTTTTGAGCAAAAAAGGAAATACGGAGGATGTTTTGGGCCCCCGAAACATACCTCAAATCCTAAACCCTAAACCCTAAACCTCAGACCCTGAACTCTAGACCCTGAACCCTGAACCTGAACCAAGCCCTGAGCCCAAGCCGCAAGCGGCACTTGGGTGAAACACAAGCCGGCGATCTGGGGGAGTTCGGGCCACTCTTTCTCTGCTCTTTCTGCCTTTGAAGGAGGGCGGGGGTGGGTGTAGGATTTAGGGTTCGAAGCGGCGATCTGACTTAGGGTTTTTAGGGTTTTAGGGTGTTAGGGTTTTAGGGTTTTAGGATTTTAGGGTTTTAGGGTTTAGGGTTTAGGGCTAGGGTTTAGGGTTTAGGAAGTTTAGGGCTTGGGGTTGCTCGACTCCCTCCCGGTCTACCAGCTGTCACACACCTCAAGGCTCCTCAACCTCAGGCGAGGAGTCAGGGTTGAAGATTGACACGGGGCTTGGCTAGGTATACTGTTGGAGATACATGTATACACTGTTGGTCTTTACGTATTTGAACAATCAAATACAAAACATACAGAGATATATATATATACAGATACATACATGTTTTATTGATTTATAGTTCTGTAATGGGTATTCGCCAACACAATGCACCCCAAAGTCCCCCCTATGTCAGGAAACCCCACCCGGGTTTTCTGCACGAAGCCCGGCGAAAACACCACAGTCTCGAGGCAGCTGGGAGAACCTCTACCCTCTTCGTGCCCTAAAACGCGCTCAGGGTGAAATCCTATACATAAGCCCTATGAGGTCTACAAGTCCATTAACAACCCCAATCCCTAAACCCCAAACCCCAAACCCCAAACCCTAAACCCTAAACCCCAAACCCTAAACCTTCCCTGGGGCCCCGGGCAGTTGGCCATCGCAGCCATCGGGACCTGGGTACGGAGGCCCCACGCCGGCGCCTTGGAAGCACGAACCCTAAACCCTAAACCCTAAACCCCGAGAGCGTGAAGTTGGGAATTTACATGCTCTCCCTTGGGATGCAAACAGCTCCTTAATGGGGATTCTAGTAGGGGGTACTATGATCCCGATTAAGGACTGCTAGTATAAGGGGGAAAATCCAAAGCTCTAGATATATACTAAGTCCATGTGAAATATGTTCTAACTGTATCAACTGTATCAATATCAGTATTCTTATTTCATACACCATACTTATACATGTATATACATATTTATATATGCATATCAAGTATAATGGAAAAATCTTAGAGCTTGGTTCTCACATCATACACTACACTATATAAGGGCAGTGGGCGGTTGCCATGATGTTCGAGGTCAGCTGAACCAAATTCAATGCAAGGGTCAGATGTCTATAATAGTGCGACCGAGAGGGTCGGCGGCAGTCGGCGCCTCATTGTACAAGTACACACTGCAGGTATAACTGCAGGACTCGGATGCTGAGTGCAGCAGAGCAGCCGTAGCCGCCGTTGCCGTAGCCGCCATTGCCATAGCCGCCATTGCCATAGCCGCCATTGCCGCCATTGCCGTAGCCTTCCCAAGCATGCAAGTTCTGCCAAGCAAAACCCCTTAGTTGCTGAGTTCATAAGCCCCTAAGAAGTGTACACTTTCAGTTCTATGGGGATTCTAGTATCCCAAAAAGTGTATAGTGTGCTCACTCGGGTACTAAGACCGAAACCCTTTCACCCTTCCAAGAATCATGCTGGCCACCTCCCTGCCCATAGCCATAGGCAGCGCCAGCGACGCCTGCGGCTGCGGCGCCCTGGAGCCTGGGTTAGGGTGTTTGGGGTTTAGGGTTTAGGGTTTTGGGTTTATAGGGTTTATGGGGCTTTGGGTTTTGGGTTTATAGGGTTTAGGTTTTCAGGGTTTAACCTGGTTTAGGATCTCGAATCTCGGCTTTTAGGGTTTAGGGCTTTAGGGTTTGGGGTTTGAGTAGGGTTTCGGGCTTTAGGGAGTTCAGGTCCTGGGTGGAGGGCAGCTATGCGGCTGAGGGTTGAGGGTTGCAAGGGTTGAGGACTACAGGGGTTCAGGGGGTTTAGGGATTGGCAAACCTTCCCCTAAAGCCCTAAAGCCCAAAAACCCCAAAAACACCAAACCCTCCCAACCCACTCCAAACCCAAAAGCCCTAAAACTTGGACATGAAATAACCCTAAACTCTAAACCCTAAACCTTGAACCCTGAACCCTAAACCTTAAACCGTAAACCCTAGACCAGACCCCAAACCCTAAACCCTAAACCCTACCCCGAAAACACCCAAGCGATAAGCTGCCCAGTGGCATTCGTCCCTGCCCAAGAGACCGACCCTGGCGCTTGGCAATACCGCGCCTTGGTTTTAGGTTTAGAGGGGTTTAGGGTTTAGGGCTTAGGTTTTTTTTGATTTTGTTTGGGGAAGGGGGGGGGGGTGGGCGGAGGGGGTTGTGGTTTTGTGTTTAAGGAAAAGATGAGAGATTTAGGGATTTTTGGGGGGGGGGGTGGGGGTGGGGGTGTGTGGGGTTTTGGTGGTCAGGGACTAGGTTTTAGGAGGTTTCGGGTTCAGGGCCCCTAAACCCTAAACCCCTTCAGGGGTTTTGGGGGGGGGGGGGGGCAGGGCCATTCAGGGGTTCACGACCCTAAACCCTAAACCCTAAACCCGTTTCAGGAGCTTTGGGTCTGTAGAGCTCTGGGGGTGGCGGTGGGTTTAGGGCTGAAGATCTCACCGGGTTTCTGTGAGGATTCCTTGGGGACTAAATGAACCCTAAAAGGGTTTAGGGTTCATATACCTTACTAGGAATTATAGTAGTCAGGGTATATGACCCCCCCCCCCCCAATTTAGGGTTCCTTTCGTCCCCAAGGTTGGCGGTACATCAACTTCACCGCTTGGCTTAGAGGGCTTGTCTGTGCTGAGTTGGGGTTACTCACAAAAACTCTTAAGAGGGAATACCTCATATCCCCTTCAGCAGAAGAGCCCTTTTATGAACTACAGGAACCCCAACCCTAAACCCTAAACCCTAAACCCTAAACCCTAAACCCTAAACCCTAAACCCTAAACCCTAAACCCGCAATTCCCCTTTTAAGAGGCAGTTGAGGTGTGCGGGATTAGGCCGTGCCTCATGGCCCTCTGCTTGCCATAGCGACTGAAAGGGCCTTAGACCGAGAATGGGTTCAGGGATGAGGGTTGGGGGCTTAGCAGTTCGAATGCTGGTTTAGGGTTTAGGGTTTAGGGTTTAGGGTTCAGGGTTTAGGGTTCTAGTCTAAACCGTCATGGACCATAAGGTGCCAGGAGCTTGTGGCAATGGTCGGAAAATGAGGAAATTCAACTTCGCTGTTCTAAAACACCATCAAACATTACTAAACATTACTGCAATTGAGGAAGTGCTCGGGCGTGATGATGATGATGATGATGATGATGATGATGATGATGATGATGATGGTGTGGGTTCATGTGTGAAGGCTCACGGGGCACAGGGTTGTGGCTTATGCTTCAAGACTTAGTTTGACTCAGCCTGACACGTCAGAAACAGCCTATGCAGGGTGCAACCGCCACACCATTGGTTGATCCAAACTCTCTTCGGCATCCCTAATCAATATGGGCATTCCCCAAAATAGGGGTACCCCGTTTTTATACCCCAAATACAACAGCATGCCCTTAAACCCTCCCCCCCCCCCAGAAAGGGTACCCCTGTTTTCGTAGACCCCTTTATAAAAGATAGACATATCTATATATATATATACATACTAAGAAAGGGGGACCTACTGTTTGGGGATTTAGATTGAGGGTCCCCTAAATCCGTAAACCCCCATATGAAGAGTAAACTACACAGGAGATGCCACTAACTGGCCCCTAGCTCAACGCTCAAATGACGGCGTCAGCTCTATGTCCTAGACCCAAAAACCACAAACCCGAAACCCTAAACCCTAAACCCTGGACCCTGAACCCTAAACCCTAAACCCTAAACCCTAAACCCTAAACCCTAAACCCTAAACCCTAAACCCTAAACCCTGCCTCGGCCCACGGTCTGGTTGATCTCTCCACAGGGCGTGCACACAATCCCCGGCCGCTGCTTCGGGCAACCTCCCTCGGTGCACCTCAGAGTCTTAAGTGGGTTTAGGGTTTAGGGTTTAGGGTTTAGGGTTTAGGGTTTAGGGTTTAGGGTTTAGGGGTTGGGGTTTAGGGTTTAGGGTTTAGGGTTTAGGGTTTAGGGTTTAGGGTTTAGGGTTTAGGGTTTAGGTCAGGGGCCCTAGGGGCCTATTCGACTTTGAATAGGGTTTAGGGTTTGTATAAGGTATGGGTCAATTCGGGTAGTTAGTGAAGAGATTCGAAAGGGGCAACATTGGGGAAATTGTGCACAAGTGCCTAGAGACAGGCCTTTTGCATGCGCAGAACGATGAGTTTTCAATAGCAGGCGTAGTGCTGTCCTAGTTTCGGGGTAAGCAAGTCAGAGCGCTTGGACGAGCAGATGTTGCAGCAATTTCCGGGGTTTTGCCGTTTCAAACTCCTTTTTGCGCTATGGGTGCGCTTCGAAACTGGTACGAAGATCGCGTGCGGAGCAAAACCACTGGACAAGCCGCACTGCTTCAGGGTTTAGGGTTTAGGGTTTAGGGTTTAGGGCTTAGGGTTAGGGTTTGATGTTATCAAGCTCCGGACATGGATGCTCTGGACGATGGATGTACTGTGATCCCAACACGGGGAGCATGTATGCAATCATCGTTGTCAATGTGCCTATATAGTACAAACTTGGGACCCCAAACGCTGAACCCCTAAAACTACCCTAAAACCTAAACCCTAAACCCCAAAACCCTAAACCTTACAGGGGTCCCTATATAGTAGCTTTAGGGCCCAAGTATATACTATCTGGGTAGCCCAGTAATGTCGTATCCTGATTAGTCTGGACCCCTCCAATAATGAGAAGTTTTCCAAAAACTATTCAGGAGACAAAAATTCGATTGCCCCCCCCACAATAAAGTACAGTTTTTCGGGCATGGGTTTCGGAAGAGAGAAAAAACGAGAACAAGATGATGAAAGAAAAGAGCAAAAGAAGAGCAGCTTCAAGTCGGAGTTCTGAGCTGTCATCCCCAACCTGAGCTGAGTAGCTGAGCTGTGAATCTGAGCTCTGAGGTCGAAAATCTGAGGTCTGAGCTGTTAAATTTGAGCTCTGAGCTTTAGTTGCTCATCTGAGCTTACCTGAGCTTAATTACCTAAGAGGAGAGGGAGAGGAAGAGGAGAGGGAAGAGGAGCGAAGAGGAAATGAAGAGGAGCCGGTGGGGGGGGCCCGGGGCCGAAAATTAGTTTGGGGGGGTCCCTTTTTTTGGTGACACTATTGCGGGGGTGGATTTAGTTTGGGGGGGGGGCCCCCCCACACTAATCAGGATACCACATTAACCATGTTATAATAAGGGCACCCTTTTTGGGGTTGGATATTTTATAAGGGAACCCAGAACCAAAAACAAAAGGGTAAAGGGTACCACTGGGCTACCAAGATATAGGTACCCGGACCCTTAGAGAAAATCTCTGGGATGGATTCTCCAAGAAGCGCATGCGCTGGGAGCACGGGCGTAGTCATCGTTTAGGGTTTAGAAATTACGGCTCAGGGCATGTATAGGGTTTAGGGTTTAGGGTTTAGGGTTTAGGGTTTAGGGTTTAGGGTTTAGGGTTTAGGGTTTGGTTAGGGTTTAGGGTTTAGGGTTTAGGGTTTAGGGTTTAGGGTTTAGGGTTTAGGGTTTAGGGTTTAGGGTTTAGGGTTTAGGGTTTAGGGCTTAGGGCTTAGGGCTTAGGGCTTAGGGCTTAGGGCTTAGGGCTTAGGGCTTAGGGCTTAGGGCTTAGGGCTTAGGGCTTGGGGTTTGTCATGGGTCAGCCAGTCTCTGGGCAATTGGCGTGCGCTGGGTCAAGTATTTAGACTTCTGTATGGGTATTGGCCTGCAGGTCATGCCTGATCACAAATCACAGTTGCACGATGAAGTTTTGGCAAGTTTGGGCTTGGGATGAAACCACAAAAACAACAAAGCCATGTGACATGTTGAGCTCGCCAAAAACTCTTGGAAGCCTTGAACCCTGAACCCTGAACCCAACCCCTGAACCTTAAACCTTGAACCTGGAACCCTAAAGCCTGCACCCTGAACCCTGAAAACCTTGAACCTTAAACCTTGAACCTGGAACCTTAAACCCTGAGCCCTAAACCCTGAACCCCTAAAACCCTGCACCCTAATTAAACCCTGAACCCTAAACCATGAACCCTAAACCCTGAACCCTGAACCCTAAACCCTAAACCCTAAACCCTAAACCCTAAACCCTAAACCCTAAACCCTAAACCCCAAACCGAACCCTAAACCAACCACAAAAAACTAAACCCTAAAACCCTAAACCTCAAACCACAGGCTACATACATCCATCATGCGCAGGCGCAGCTAGGATGTGCACAACTCCACGGCCCCATAGACCCTAACCCTAAGGTTTAGGGTTTGGGGTTTGGGAGCAGCAGGAAGGGTTTAGGGTTTAGGGTTTAGGGTTTAGGGTTTAGGGTTTAGGGTTTAGGGTTTAGGGTTTAGGGTTTAGGGTTTAGGGTTTAGGGTTTAGGGTTTAGGGTTTAGGGTGTTAGGGTTTAGGGTTTGGGGTTTAGGGTTTGGGGTTTGGGGTTGGGGGTTTGGGGTTTGGAGTTTAGGGTTTAGGGTTTGGGGTTTAGGGTTTGGGGTTTAGGGTTTAGGGTTTGGGGTTCAGGGTGTCCGGAGACAGGGGCACCCGTTTTGGGGCTTCATATAACAGGACTTACCATATGTTGCGGGCTATTACCCTAAACCCTAACCCCTAAACCCTAAACCTTAAACCCCAAACCCATTTTTTGGGGATGAAACTTCTTGAATGGCCGAGGAGCCCAGGTGGAATGTTGTCCTTCGTACCTTTTCAATGGTGGCAACGCCGGTGTCCCTAAACCCTGAACCCTAAACCCTGAACCCTGAACCCTGAACCCTAAACCCTAAACCCTAAACCCTAAACCCTAAACCCTAAACCCTAAACCCTGAACCCTAAACCCTAAACCCTATACCCTAACCCTGAACCCTGGATCCTAGGCCTCGGCCCGCCCCCCTCCCCCCCCCCACCCCCAACAGTGTCGCGCCCTTCGACCTTTTGTGGCCTGCGACCTTTCTGGGAGGATGCCCCTTGGGATCTTCCTGGGACCTTGCCGTTACAATCTGTTATTCTCAAACTCCTCAAATCAGGAAAACCATGCAAGAAAAAACATGAGCTTAAGCCTGAAGACTTAAGGAATAGGCTTTGCCGCCTTAGACTGCGTGGGGTGGGAGAAGAGTATTGGATGGCCCTCCACAATCGGGCCATGGCTGCTCTTTGCACCTGACGCAGCTGTCGCGCCTATTCTGCATCCCGGCCTTCATCGCACCTGCGCCATATTACAGCAAGCTCTAAACCCTAAACCCCTAAAACTCTGAGACCCTAAAGCCCGAAAGCCCAAAACCCCAAAAACCCCCAAAACAGATCGTGCGCGAGTCCGGGGAAGACTGTGAACCAAACCCCGAAAGCCCACCTCTCCCAAATTCTGGGGCTTGCGGTTTAACTGTAGGGAAAACTAAACTCCCTGAACCTTAAGCCCTAAATCCTAAACCCTAAACCCTAAACCCTAGCCCTAAACCCTAAACCCTAAACCCTAAACCCTAAACCCTAAATCCACAACTCATCTCAACAGGGCTGCTCTTCGAAGCGAGGAAGGATACGGCCTGCAGAGAAGCGGCTGCAAGCGGTAGAAAGTTAGGATAGGGTTTAGGGTTTAGGGTTTAGGGTTTAGGGTTTAGGGTTTAGGGTTCAGGGTTTAGGGTTCAGGGTTTAGGCTTCAGGGTTTAGGATTTAGGCTTCAGGGCTTGGGGCTGGGCTGCTTGGAGTTTGGGTCGAGGGTTTGGGGGCTTCGGGCTGTGAGCTCCGGCGGCTTTAGGGCTTGAATTCTTGCAGGTGACCCCATGGCTGACTTCTGAACCCCTCCTAAAGGGTTTAACTGGTTTAGGGTTTAGGGTTTAGGGTTTAGGGTTTAGGGTTTAGGGGGCTCCTTTTGGTAGTGTCTACCAAAAACCCCAAAGGTAAAAGTCCTAAGAAAGCCGAGCAGCCTTAGGAATCAAGAGGGTGCCCTTTCTGGCTTAAAGGGGCTTACAAGGGAACCTAAACCCTACACAAAGGGAATACGGGCCTACTCTGGGTCCCAGTAGCCCTAAACCCTAAACCCTAAACCCCAAACCCTAAACCCTAAACCCTAAACCCTAAACCCTAAACCCTAAACCCTAAACCCTAAACCCTAAACCCTAAAGGGAATAAGGAATTTGTTGGGGCTGGGAGGCTTGTTGAGTTGATATGGATTCAAAAGGGTTGAGGGTTTTAGGGTAGTCGCCTCTATGTCTTGCATGCGGGGAGACAACGAGTCTCTGGAAGAGTTAAGGGCTTCTTGCTCGCTTGGAAGACCGTTTAGGTACGAAATAGGGTTTGGGGTTTGGGGTTCGGGTTGGGGGTTTGGGTTTGGGGTTAAGGGCTTAGATCCAGCTTCAGGGGCATGTGCACTGCGGCGGCGTGCGAGTTTGCCCAGCCTCTGCAGATCTCCGCAGTGCCTTGGGGCATGCGTCGCCTGGAAGGCGGGCGCCCAAAAATTGACTGGCTCTCAGTCAGGAACTTGGTAAGTTGGGTACTCCATATGATGCCTTAAAGGATTCTACAGATGTGTGGGGGTGGTCTTCGGAAAAGATTTCCCGACTTCCCTTTTCACAACGAGGAAGCCGTATAGACCTTCAACCCCAGCAAGCAACCCCCGACCTCTAAACCTAAGCAACTTGGTTGCTGAGTTCATAAGCCGCAAAAAAGTGTACACTTTCAGTTCTATAGGGGAGTACAGTATCCCAAAAAGTGTAAAGTGCACTCATTCAGCTACTAAGGTAACCTTCTTGGCAGCCCAGTAACCATCTTATGAATAAGGGGCACCCTTTTTGGGGCTGGTTACTTTACAAGGGAACCCAAAACCAAAAAAAGAGAAGCGTACCACTGGGCTACCAAGCCGTTCACAAGAGGGCACTATCAAGACATAGACTGAGCGAGAAGGCGCTCCACCTTCAGCCATCACAGAACATAAACAATACACACACCGTACCTTATAGGAACCTCAAACCTGTACCTTGTTGATGTGGGTTTGCGTTTAGGGTGTAGGGTTTAGGGTGTAGGGTAAGAAGCGGCCTGAACAAGTCAAAGTGTGACGCGAAAATTGTCTACCTTAATAACCCCAGGCCTGATCTTGTGTAGCATCTTGACAAATGTTAGGCGTTGTGGTTGAGGGGGCTACAGCAGCTCGACTCAAGTTCAAAGCTGCATTTTTCGGTGGGCATCTCAATTTAGCTACACTGCAGAGCTTAGGGTCTAAGACTCAAGGCGTATGTCACAAAGGCGAGCATCCTCCCAAGGTATGGCCTGGAAACGGTAAACCCAAACCCTGAAACCTGAGCCATAAACCCTACACCCTACACCCTAAACCCCAAAGGCTAACCAAGTGAAGCCAAGTCACCAATGTCAAGGAAGTCCTTTTTCAGGCAGATCAGGGTTTAGGGTTTAGGGTTCAGGGTTCGGGGTTTAGGGTTTAGGGTTTGACAATCTCTCTTCGACAGCTTTCATGAGAATGGGAAGTATTTAGCTACGCAACAGAACCCTGCCAAAGGGACTCCTAGCCTAGCAGCAAGGAGAACGCAAGTGCACAAGCGGCGCACGGAACTTTCCCTTTTAACCCTGAGATGGTGGAGTCACGAGTCTCAGGCAATCTCAACAGCCACAAGTGAGACCCTTGACCGGCCCTGTCAAGAAGAGATCCCTCCTCAAAGCAGGCCAGGGCCGAATCGAAAATCCCCACCCCCCACATTTTGCAGGGTCGTGGTGGGCGGGAAAAGCAAAATGCTCACACAGGGCTCAGCTAACACACGAGGTGAACCCTCCTGCCACTACAAGCCCTGTAGGAAGAGCCACAAGCCTGCAGCACTGCACGACAAGCTTGACCTTTCACCTTGCGCCTGCGCAACGCAACAACGCGCAACAGCGCAAACCGCGCAAGACAAACCTTGTTGCAACGCACATACTTCCCACTTAGATACATGCACGCATGCACCTCGCGGAGAATACTGTTGGTTAACCTGCAATAATGTTTATTTCTCATGGGTTCCCCTTACTACCGCCCTCTATACTACCCGCCTAGGTTCCCCCCCCCCCCCATTTTGAAGGTTATTTGGGAATATTGGGTGATTTCTCTAAATAAGAGTCCCTTTTAGGGTCCTGATTATAAGGCGGCCCCTCCTATTTAGGGTACCCCAATAAGGGACAACAATTTGAGAACTCACCATTTAAGCCTAATTAAGGCTATTTAAGGGAACGCAGGGGGGCAGTATAGAGAGGAGTAGTAGGGGAACCCATGAATTTCGGCCATAACTCCCCGGCCGGGGCAGCTTCAGGTACAGACCCTTCCCAGAGTTTAGGGTTTAGGGTTTAGGGTTTAAGGTTTAGGGTTTAGGGTTTAGGACGGGTTGGATGCTGGGCTCTGCAGGAAAGTTGGAGCCAGAAACTCAAAACCCCAAGTCCCCAGACCCGAAGTCTCAAACCTTGGCTGCACTCAGGAGGGTAGCTAAGAATTAAACTTTTAGCTGCCTTATTAAGAAAACCAATTAACCCAAAAAGGGTAAGGATCTAAAGTTACAGTACACTACCACAAAGAAACAACACCCGGCACCAACGCTGTGGGTCATAGAACCCAAATGCTGCAGACGTCTACATCCTAAACCCTAAACTGAGCCCCAAGACCATAGACCCCCAAAACCTAAAATCTCAACCCGACATCCTAGCACCCAAAACATGAACCGGGAAACCCTCGAACTAACTAAATCCGAGCACCTCGAAGCCCTGCAGAAACCCTTAAGTTGGGGTCTAGGGTGGGTTCCAGGCCGACCCTAAGGCCCCATAGACCCTAAACCCATCATAAACCCACAAACCCAATAAACCCTAAACATCCCTAAACCCTAAATCCTTTCTGGATCAACCCCCCCCCCGGCTCCTTCGCATCCTGAAACAGCTTCGCCTTCGGATGGTACGAGCCCACCTTTGCCGCAGTCTCTGAGCTGCACTTGGGCTACTTGGAGGCTCATCGTACTTATCAACCAACTTGATAACTGTACTTATAACCCACTGATAAGCCCCTTAAGTGCCCTAATATGGTTACAAGTACAGTTCTCAGTGCAGCTATAATTGGTCACGAAGTGCCATGCGTGACCCAAGAAGAGGTGGAGTGATTTGGATTGCATTCGTATTACGAAGGGGGGGGGGGAGCTTGGTTCGATCCAAACGGTTAAGGGTTTAGGGTTTAGGGTTTAGGGTTTAGGGTTTAGGGTTTAGGGTTTAGGGTTTAGGGTTCCTAGACCTGAACTGCGGAACCCTAAAACTTCAGGGTTTCGGGCTTAGGGTTTAGGGTTTAGTGTTCAGGGTTTATGGTTCTAGCCCAAGCAAACTAGAAATGGAGCCTAGGTTGTGGATTCAGACTTAGAGCTGCTAACTGATGGTCCGAAAGCTTCTAATCATTGAGCCTTATAAGTCTGAAATCCCCAGTAGGTAATCCTAAACCCTAAACCCTCAGCCCTAAAACCCTAAACCCTAGCCCTAAGCCCTGAACCCTGAACCCCAGCCTCTGAAATCTCCGTGCCGTGCAGAAGGTCGAGGAAGCGGGCGAGCACGCCCATGGCACCACCGGGGATGGGGTTTGCGGTCTAGGGTTTGGGGTTTGGGGTTGCGGGTTCAGGGTTTAGGGTTGAGAGTTTAGGGTGGGGTTTGGGGTTTAGGGTTTAGGGTGTAGCCCGGGTGTAGAGCGGCATCCGGGCGCTAGAGCTCCCGGGCATGTTGTTGCGCCGGACGCTCTGCGGGCCATCTATGTTCTCTAGGGATAATATATGGGCTTGAATATGGTCCCTACCGTCCTTTAAAGGGCTCTGAAGTACGGGCCCTTGGGTTATATTATATTTCTAGGGGGCCCATACTAAAGGACCATGTAACTACGCCAAGATGTTAAAACCCGGTAGAACGCCTGAACCCATGAGCCCTATTAAGCCCGATGTGGAGGCTCAGGGCACCAGCAACTCTACTTGCTGGTTCTCTTAGGGTTTAGGCTTTGGGGTTTAGAACTAGACCCAAGAGTAAGCAAGAAACAAAAGGGTGCCCTTTTTGTTTTACACGGGCTTATAAGGGAGATTTAACCCTAAATTGGGGACTCTGCGCCTACTCTGAGTGCTCGAATACTTGAGACCAGTGGGATGTGCAGAGAGAGAGGAAACTTCACAACCCGTTGCCCCTAAACACCATAAGCCCCATAAGCCCTGTAAGCCTGTTGCGCCTGAACTCTAAGCTGAGGGGTCGCGGGGTTGAGGTTCCTTGTTCTTGCAGTCTGCAGCTAGATGTGAGCGAATAACTGTCAAGATGCTTCTTTAGGACAAGAACTCCTGTTGATCTCGCCCCCAACATGCCACCTCGTGGGACCCTAACCCCAAACCCTAACCCTTGATGCCCTCTACTACATGATCTTTGCAAGAGCCGTGCTCCTGGCCCTAAACCCTAAACGCTAGACTCTAACCCCTAAACCCTAACCCCGAAGCCCTAAACCCCAAACTCAGCTTCTTCTCAGGCTCTCGCTGATCTTGACGGATACACACGGATACGAGGCAAGTACCATAGGGGCCTAAATGAGTAGAATAGGGTTTAGGGTTCAGGGTTTAGGATTTAGGGTTTAAGGTTGGGTCATTATAGTATGAATTATAGAGGGACCCTAAGGGAATACTGTTAGTAATTATTCTGACCCCTAAACTATGATGCAAGTGAGGCTTGGAATACTCAGAATTGGGGCATTATAGTCGGGTTGGTATCTCTACACACACGCTCTACACAATCCTGCCCTGTTGCAGTATGCCTTTTCTTGGCTGCACTTAGGAGGGTAGCAAAAAATTAAACTTTTGGCTGCCTTATTAAGAAACCCAATAAACCCAAAAAGGCTAAAGATGTAAAGTTACAGTAAAGCACCACAAAGTTTTATAATAGTACCCAAAATAATCGGGCCTTCATTTGGAAGCTGGGGAACTGAATCCATTCTGGCGTCTGGGTCCGCGACGCTCCGGCGGGAAGAGGTCCACCGGCACCATCACACGTCGCCATGATGTTCCAGAGCGGAACGTAGAGGAATCGGAACCGACATGAAGTCAGTCACCAGTGCAGAAATCCAACGCGGCCTGAACAAGGTTAAGGGTGTAAGTTGGGATGTTTCCCCTTATCCTGACATGCAGTCCTTCATCGGGATGAACACAGGGGAATACAAAAATCCCCATTCAGGACCCAGGGTGTACGCTCAGTGTGCAGGGTTTCTTCCGGGCTGTAGGGCTGCCAGAGCCCAATTGCAAGACTATAAAACCCACGCACGCGTAAAGAGATATAGGGTTTAGGGTTTAGGGTTTAGGGTAACGCATCCCACGCTGTCCCAGTTTCTATAGTCAGAGATGAGTCTTCATGGTAAATTTCTAGGGCTTTTAGGTACCCTGTTCGGCCTGTTTCCTCTTGTGTACAGGTTCTGCAACTTGTCGGCGGAGGGGTCCGGCGCATTCGGGTCTCTGATGGCCGCCGTCTTCATCTAGGTTGGCCCCCCTTAAACCTTCTGAAAAAAGATCCCTGAACCCTAAACACTAAACTCCAAACCGCAAACCCCAAACCCTAAACCCTATAACCCTAAACCCTAACCTCCAACAAGGGAAAATTATTATAAAAAAAAACGTTCCGAAAGTTTACGCAGTCTTGAGGCACCTCACTGCTTCATGTACACCCTCTGGCCGTAGACGTCGCTTTGGTAGATGCCCAGAGATGGGGTGCGATAGACATCGGTGATATCCAGTGTCACATATCCTGCGCCATGTACATGCAGGTGAGTTCTGGCAGTGGCATGGGCAATGCAAAGCCCCAGATGAATCCTCTAATTATGCATCTCAGTTGCAGTTGCAGCACCCACTCTAGAAATCAAGAAGCGAGCTGTGAGTAGAACTTGGAGCTCCTTCGACATTGGGGCCTCTTGCATGTGTATTTGCAGTGATTTTTGAGTATGTGTGTTTTGCTGTTGTCGTTGTCTTCGTTGTCGTTGTTGTGGTTGTTGTCTCCACCGCCGCCGCCGCCGCTGCCATTGTCGTCGTTGCTGTCGTCTTCGTTGTCGTTGTTGTTGTCGTTGTCGTCGTCACCGCCGCCAGTGGCGGGAGGCGTGTTTTATAACAAAGATCTCCCATCATAGAGCTAATCTAAAGGCACGTGAATGTTCAACCCCCTCTCCTCCCATAGCCAATCAATAACTGGGCTTTGCCCCACCTGCTTACCATTGCCTGCCCAACCCGATCCAATCGGTCAGTGGAGGGTTTTATCATGTAATCCTACGTTGCAAGGTTGGGAATTTCCAGAGTACCATTTTTCTCCCGAAGCACTCTTGTTGCACCCACACAGATCAAGCGCATGTGTTTCTGACTACGGATCCGAAATCTTAGCTCTAAACAGCAGCAGCGGTCGGCAAGGACTTTGAAGAACAGATCTGAGGGTGCAAACACTTGTTGTAGACTCATGGCAGCAGTCGAAAACTGAAAAGCAGAAGTAGCATCGCTACTGGGACTAGCAGCAGCTGCAGTGCAGAATTCGTGGCGATGACCATGCAACTCGTGTTTTAGTTGTGCCTGGCACTTGGCACAAGACAAAGCACAATCACATATATATATATATATATATAGTGTTTGAATAGAATGTATTATACTGTAGCATCTTACAATACAGTACAATACAATACAATACAATACAATACAATACAAACCCCAACGACAACATGACAACCCTGCAGAGCCAGCGACCTGCAGTGTGCGATGATACAGTCGCCAGCAGAGCGCTGCCATCCGCCTTGCTGAGAATCCTCGGATTCGGGCTTAGGGTTTAGGGTGTAGAGTGTAGGGTTTAGGGTTTCGGGTCTTAGGGTTTCGGGTTTAGGGTGTAGGGTTTAGGGTCTAGACCCAAATAGGCATATAAAAAACTGGCACCCTTTTTGGTTTATAAGAGGAGTAGAAGGGAACCTAAACCCTATAAAAAGGGAACAAGGGCCTACTCCGGGCTCTCGGATTGCAATCAGCCTATATAGATCCGAGAGGGGCCAAGGAATGAACAAGGTAGCCTTTTTGGTTTAACAGGGCTTCTCCGGGAACCTAGGCCCTCAACAAAAAAGGGTAAAACGGGCCTACTCTGGGTCCTAGTAGCCCTAAACCCTAAACCCTAAACCCTAAACCCTAAACCCTAAACCCTAAACCCTAAACCAAGGGAAAAACAGGCCTACTCTGGGTCCTATGGAAGCAGCTTCTCGAACTCAGGGGCTCCTTTGATACTGGAAGTCGCCAGGTTGGCCCCTGAAACCCTCTGAAAGAAATGTTCCCTGAAGGCGATCCTCTCAAACCCAGTAAGGGAAACCCTAAACCCATAAACCATAAACCCTAAACCCTAAACCCTAATCCCTAAACCCTACATGTGATATCCCAGGGCCTACCTGGGGAGGGGTTCTCAAGAGAAGCGATGAGCCCCGAGGAGGTCGAAGGCAAACTCCCCAAAACAACGCAAACCTGGAGGTTCATGCTCTTTAAGCTAGTTGGGTTTAGGGCTTAGGGCTTAGGGCTTAGGGTTTTGGGTTTAGGGTTTTAGGGTTTAGGGTTTAGGAGTACAGTTAGAATTGGGGGTAGAAGTGCCCTGAACCCTAGGCAACCCTGTCAGCGCCGTAAACTTCACAGACCCTGTAAACGCTACAAAGCCAGCAAGCCCCAGAGCCATATAACCCATTTCCCGAACCCTAAACCCTAAACCCTAAACCCAAAACCCTAAACCCAAAACCCTAAACCCTAAACCCTAAGCCCTACAATGCCCGAGGCAGGGCGGACCTATCAACAAAGCTTGGAGCTGTAGGGTTAAGGTTTCAGAAGGGTTTATAGGGTTTAGGGTTTAGGGTCTAGAGTTTAGGGTTGAGGGCTCGCACCCAGCTTCCAGCCGGGTATTCCAGGGTTGTCGTTCGAGTCCGCCATCCTGGGTCGGGTCGCAGGGGGGGTGGGGTCAGGCTTTTTAGGCCGTAGGGCCGAAGATTGGGTGAAGGGTTAAAGCAGTTTAGGGTTTAGGGCTTAGTACGTAGGACCTTTAGGGTCTATTTGGCACGCCTCGTTTGCCGCCGGGAAATCCCTAGATTTGATTTTTCAAGGATTTCATGAAATTTAAAATGCCCAAAAATCCTTGAAATCCTTAAAATATCAAATCCCGGGATTTGATTTTTTAAGGATTTCAAGGATTTTTTAGGCATTTTAAATTTCATGAAATCCTTGAAAAATCAAATCCCGGGATTTAATTTTTCAAGAATTTCAAGGATTTCATAAAATTTAAATACCGGAACTCCTGCAAAAGCAAACCCCCCCCTCCCCACTCAGAGTACGGGAAGACCACGCGGATTTTAAAATTTATGAAATCCTTGAAATCCTTGAAAAATTAAATCCCGGGATTTGATTTTTCAAGGATTTCATAAAAATTCAAATGCCCAAAAACCCTTGAAATCCTTAAAAAATCAAATCCTGGGATTTAATATTTTAAGGATTTCAAGGATTTTTTGGGCATTTTGAATTTTATGAAATCCTTGAAAAATCAAATCCCGGGATTTAATTTTTCAAGGATTTCAAGGATTTCATAAATTTTAAAATCCGCGTGGTCTTCCCGTACTCTGAGTGGGGAGGGGGGGTTTGCTTTTGCAGGAGTTCCGGTATTTAAATTTTATGAAATCCTTGAAATCCTTGAAAAATTAAATCCCGGGATTTAGTTTTTCAAGGATTTCATAAAATTTCAAATGCCCAAAAAATCCTTGAAATCCTTAAAAAATCAAATCCTGGGATTTAATATTTTAAGGATTTCAAGGATTTTTTGGGCATTTTGAATTTTATGAAATCCTTGAAAAATCAAATCCCGGGATTTAATTTTTCAAGGATTTCAAGGATTTCATAAATTTTAAAATCCGCGTGGTCTTCCCGTACTCTGAGTGGGGAGGGGGGGGGTTTGCTTTTGCAGGAGTTCCGGTATTTAAATTTTATGAAATCCTTGAAATCCTTGAAAAATCAAATCCCGGGATTTAATTTTTCAAGGATTTCATAAAATTTCAAATGCCCAAAAAATCCTTGAAATCCGTAAAAAATCAAATCCGGGGATTTGATATTTTAAGGATTTCAAGGATTATTTGGTCATTTTAAATTTTATGAAATCCTTGAAAAATCAAATCCCGGGATTTAATTTTTCAAGGATTTCAAGGATTTCACAAATTTTAAAATCCGCGTGGTCTTCCCGTACTCTGAGTGGGGAGGGGGGGGGTTTGCTTTTGCAGGAGTTCCGGTATTTAAATTTTATGAAATCCTTGAAATCCTTGAAAAACTAAATCCCGGGATTTGATTTTAAGGATTTCATGAAATTTAAAATGCCTAAAAAATCCTTGAAATCCTTAAAAAATCAAATCCCGGGATTTGATATTTTAAGGATTTCAAGGATTTTTTGGGCATTTTAAATTTCATGAAATCCTTGAAAAATCAAATCCCGGGATTTAATTTTTCAAGGATTTCAAGGATTTCATAAATTTTTAAATCCGCGTGGTCTTCCCGTACTCTGAGTGGGGAGGGGGGGGGTTTGCTTTTGCAGGAGTTTCGGTATTTAAATTTTATGAAATCCTTGAAATCCTTGAAAAACTAAATCCCGGGATTTAATTTTTCAAGGATTTCATGAAATTTAAAATGCCCAAAAAATCCTTGAAATCCTTAAAAAATCAAATCCCGGGATTTAATATTTTGAGGATTTCAAGGTTTTTTTGGGCATTTTAAATTTTTTATGAAATCCTTGAAAAATCAAATCCCGGGATTTGATTTTTCAAGGATTTCAAGGATTTCATAAATTTTAAAATCCGCGTGGTCTTCCCGCACTCTGAGTGGGGAGGGGGGCGTTTGCTTTTGCAGGAGCTCCGGTATTTGAAGTTTATGAAATCCTTGAAATCCTTGAAAAACTAAATCCCGGGATTTAATTTTTCAAGGATTTCATGAAATTTTAAAATGCCCAAAAAATCATTGAAATCCTTAAAGAACTAAATCCCGGGGTTCGGTTTAGGGTTTAGGGTTTAGGGTTTAGGGTTTAGGGTTTAGGGTTTAGGGTTTAGGGTTTAGGGTTTAGGGTTTAGGGTTTAGGGTTTAGGGTTTAGGGTTTACGGTTTAGGGTTTAGCGTTTAGGGTTTAGGGTAATATCCTTGAAACCCTTAACAAAAATCAAATACCGGATTTGATTGTGTAAGGAGTTCATAAAAAGTTAAGATGCCGAAAAAGAATTTAAACCCTTTAAAATCAAACCCCGGGAATTGTCTTTTCCAGGATTTCAGACATACCCGCTCATTGCCCATCCCACATCACCCCGCATCATCTCCCATCATCTCCCATCGTTTCTCTCATCCCCCATCATGCCCCATCATCCCCCAATCATCCCCCATCATCTCCCATCATTTCGGGGGGGGTGAAAGGGATGATGGGGGATGATGGGGGATGATGGGGGATGAGACAGTCAGCCCCCTTATCATGTCCCATCGTCTCTCTCATCCCGCGTCATCCCGCGTCATCCCCCATCATCCCCCATCATCCCCCATCATCCCCCATCATCCCGCATCATCCGCCATCATCCCCATCATCTCCCATCATCCCCCATCATCCCCCATCATCATTCCCCATCATCTCTCATAATCCCTTTCACCCCCCCATCATCCACCATCATCCCCCATCAGCCCCCATCATCGTCCCCGATCAGCCCCTATCATGCCCCATCATGTCTCTCATCCCGCGTCATCCCCCATCATTCCCCATCACCCCCCATCATCTCCCATCATCCCGCATCATCCCCCATCATCCCCCATCATCATTCCCCATCATCTCCCATAATCCCTTTCACCCCCCGTCTTGAGGGGTTAGTGACTGCCCTAGAGGTTAATCGTATGTCCCCCCGCTTCGTGTTGTTGTGATTTGGTAGGGGCCCAGAGGTTTGTATGAGTTGTTTTCTTCGTTCGTGTTGTAAGGGTTTTGTGAGGGCCCCGGAGGTTTGTCGCATGTCCCCTTTCTTCGTGCTTGTAGGGTTTGGGGAGTGTCTAGATAATTGTCAAAAATCATTCCTTCCGCGCTCGTACTATGAGGGGCTAGTGGCTGCCCTAGAGGTTTGTCGTATATTCCCCCGCTTCGTGTTCCTGAGATTTGGTAGGGGCCAGAGGCTTGTCATATGTCCCCTCCCTTCGTCCCTTCGTGTTGTGAGGGTTGCATTCGGCCTTGGAGGTTTGCCGTATGTCCCCTTTCTTGGCGTCTAGATGATTGTCATCATAAGTCATTTGCTTCCGTGGTCGTATTATGAGGGCTATTGACCGCCCTAGAGATTTGTCGTATGCCCCCCTGCTTCGTGTTCCTGTGAGTTGGGAGGGGCCTAAAGGTTTATCTTTTGTCCCCTCCCTTCGTCCCTTCGTATTGTAAGGGTTTCGTGAGCGCTCTGGAGGTTTTTCATATATCCCCTTTGTTCGTGCTTGTAGGGTTGAGGGAGTGTCTAGATGATTATCACATATCGTTTGCTTCCGCAGTCGCTATGAGGGTATTGATTGCCCTAAAGATTTCTCGTGTGCCCCCCCGCTTCGTATTCCTGTGATTTGGTAGGGGTCTAGAGGTTTGTCGTAATTCCTCTCCCTTCGTTCCTTCGTGGGATGTTTGCGTGTGTCCCCTTTCATCGTGCTTGTAGGGTTTGGGGAGCCTAGACGACTGATATATATATATATATAATTCGATTCCGTGCTCGTATTGTGAGGGGCTAGTGATCGCCCTAGAGGTTTGTCGTATGTCCCCCCGATTCCTGTTCCTGAGATTTGGTGGGGGCCTAGAGCTTTGTCGTATGTCCCCTCCTTTCGCCCCTTCGTGTTGTAGGGGTTTTGTTGGGCCTTGAAGGCTTGTCGTGTGTCCCCTTTCTTCGTGCTTGGAGAGTTTGAGGAGCGTCGAGATGATTACCATACATCATTTGCTTCCGTGCTCGTACTATGTGCGGTTAGTGACTGCCCTAGAGGTTTGTCGTATGTCCCCTTCCTTCGTCCCTTCGCGTTGTATGGGTGGTCATGTTAGTGACTGCCCTAAAGGTTTGTCGTATGTCCCCTTCCTTCGTCCCTTCGCGTTGTATGGGTGGTAAGGGTTTTGTGAGGGCCCTGGAGGCTAGTCGTATATCCACTTTCTTCGAGCTTGTAGGGTTTGGGGGGGAGCGTCTAGAGTCTAGATGATCGTCATATATGATTTGCTTCCGTGCTCAAACTATGAGGGGCTAGTGACTGTCATAGAGGTTTGTCATTTGTCCCCCCCGTTTCCTTGGTCCTGTGATTTGGTAGGGGCTTAGAGGTTTGTCATATATTCCCTCCCTTCGTCCTTTCGTGTTGCAAGGGTTTTGTGAGAGCCCTGCAAATTTGCCGTATGTCCCTTTTCTTCTTGCTTGTAGGGTTTGGGGAGCGTCTAGACGACTGACATATGTAATTTGATTCCGGGCTCGTATTGTGCGGGGCTAGTGACTGCCCTAGAGGTTTGTCGTATGCCCTCCGCTTCCTTGTTCCTGTGATGTAGTAGGGGCCTACAGGTTTGTCGTGTGTCCCCTTTCTTGGCATCTAGATGATTGTCATAAGTCATTTGCTTCTGCGGTCGTATTATGAGGGCTATTGACGGCCCTAGAGGTTTGTCGTATGCCCCCCTGCTTCGTGTTCCTGTGAGTTGGGAGGGGCCTAGAGGTTTTTTTTTGGTCCCCTCCCTTCGTCCCTTCGTGTTGTAAGGGTTTCGTGAGCGCTCTGGAGGTTTTTCGTATGTCCCCTTTGTTCGTGCTTGCAGGGTTTGGGGAGTGTCTAGATGATTATCACATATCGTTTGCTTCCGCAGTCGCTATGAGGGTATTGATTGCCCTAAAGATTTCTCGTGTGTCCCCCGCTTCGTATTCCTGTGATTTGGTAGGGGTCTAGAGGTTTG